TTACTAAATTTTGAGGAAAATCAGAGCCTACTGGTTAATAGTTAAACCCTTCAAAAACAATGCAGTAGTTGTTCTTGAAGCATGTGAGAATTTCATGCATATGAAATTTCATGCTCTTGTAGTTGTTTTCCCTCATATTCATGACTTTTCTGAGGAAGCCCAGTCTTTGATGACTCAGCTACCAAAGTTGGTCTAGTTGATTTAGCTTTTTCTTTGTGTGTCGACTGTAGGTATTCCTTCCCACTTGGCTTCTTCACTTAGCCTTTCATAACTTTTCATTCCTTCAAACTACTTGCCCGGAGAAGTTTTTAGGACATACTTCTCGTTGGATATGCAGCCTCTTTACCGTCTTTATTTGTAAATCTGTACAAATGACCAGCCACAAGTCTGCTCAGGCATGTGCAGGTTTACATGGTGCAATCGTTTCTTTGCCAGTAAGGCTTTGTAAATACCAGGTGTCTTTGAAAAGCAGAAAGCTCTTGGAAGCATGTGCTCACTAATGGAATGGTAAGCAGCTAAACACTTCCAAAACATTGTACAAAGCAACCTCCTCTGGGATTTGCAGTCTGCATTCTGCAGTGTAACTCAAAAGGGTGTTTTCCTCCCTTAGGTTTTTAGTATTGTGTGCTGCTTTGCTCAAGCACAGTCTCTTGGAACTCAGTGCAAAAACATCCCTAGCTCAGTGAACGTAAAGAATAAGTTGTCAAGTGGTGGATATTATTCCCTACACAGTGCTTTAAAAGATATCTTTGCTTGATTGTTGTTAATTGTCATACATGTGTGAGTTTGCAAATGTTGCTTCTGGAGCTGGTGACAGAGTTACATATCTGCTCCTAATACTTGATGGCATTTGAAGATGGGAATATAATTTTACAATACATAGAATGAAAATTCACTTGAAACAGTAATTGTATTTTACTGTCAGTCTATAATGTTTCACCAATTAAGTACGTACCTGACAAATGAGAAAATAAGTGCAGCATATCCAAATTGTTGCAGATAGAAAAATGTTGAATTGACAGTGTTTAATGCATTGTGAATATAAATTTTGTTCTTAATGTCCATTTGGAGTGGGAAACCATACAGAATAATCTTTGGACTGAGTTTGTACATATTGAAGATCATTTAGTTATCTGAAGGAAGGTATGTGAAGAGCATTCACAGACTTATTTGTGCCAACAGACATTGCATTCTAAATCACTGTTATACCACTTTGTCATCTATAAATAAACTGGCAAACACACTGCTCAGCTTTGAATTTCCTTCACTGCTAGTACCACTTGAAATCAGTGGTTCCTGTTTCAGTATTGCTTGTTCTTTTGACATAAATCAAAGAAAAATCCTCACAGTGAAGCTATCAGAAATATAATTTAATTTGTATTAGGATGACAAAAACATTTCTCCTGTGTCTCCCCATGTCCAGTTTCTATTTTTATAATAAAACGGTATTTTATAGACAGTTAAATTGGAAAAAATCTATATGTCTATAGATATCTATATGTCTATATAATCTATAATCTGCTATAGGTTAAGGTTGTATAGTGAATCGAAGTATCCATCATAACAAGTATAAAAAGCTGCTCAGAAGCATGATTTCTCAGGAATTGCAAGGGCAGTCCTGTGAACTTGAATCTTGTGAAGTAGCACATGTCTTCCTTGAAAACTTCCTTAACAGAGAGAAATATCTAAGGAGTCCAAAAACAACTAGTGTTTCTTAAACTTTCTGATTGTACCAACAATTAATTTGTTGGAGATCAGGATATTAGTTTCAAATAACTTACACGGTTCTTTACATTTGAAACATTTCTATTGTGTTGTACAGTTCTGGAGCTTGCTGCCCTAAGAGTTTAGGTAGGATGTTGACAGGCTCTGATAGACAATTCTTCAGCAAGAAATTTGATGCCTGAACTGATCTCTGGAAATAGTGAGTAGAAAAAGTTTTGTTGTTGTCCAGCTGGCAATTTTAGAATACAAAGGAAGTTGAAAAGCACTGGGTAAATAAAGCAGTTCTGTCTTCTTAGGGGAGAAAAAAATGCTTTTTACAGATTACTTTGTACAAGTATACAAAGGGCATGCACTTGACAGCACTTTGAGGAAATCAGTGATATTGGAAAGTATGTGGAATTCCTCCTCTGGATATTTTTTCTTTTTTTTTTTTTTTATTATGAACACAGCTGCTTTTACTGTTAATCCTGCACACATAGGAAACATACTTTACATTCCCTGTGTTCATAGTTTAAATCCATAGGTGCATAGATCCTGGAGATCTTAATTGAAAATTGAATTTCCTGCTTTACTCTGCTGGGGATTTTTTTGTTATTATTTGATGAAAAAATGTTCATATCTCTTTGCATGTGTTGTTTAACAGTAAGAGCTTCAGTACCAAATGAGGACCTGTGCAGGTGTAGCAAAACAGGCTATGTCTGGCAAAATTAACAGGAGCAACAGATTCAATGCAATGCTTGTAAGAGCATTAATTATTTTTTTTCTTGTAACAAGAAGGACAAAGGTAGTGGACTTAGCAGTGTGGAGTGGATATAGAACTTCTCCTGTGGGCTCCTGGTGGGACACTGCTGCAAGTTCTTTCTTAGTGATATGAAGCTGCAATGTGACATGTAGACTATGACAGAGTTATTGGCTAGTGGATGTTTCTCCCTTTATGAATGGAAATATAATGTTGGATCTCTTTTGCCCTTACCTAACGAAAGATAAAGCATTGATTCAGCTGCCTGGGAAATCTTCCAGATCTGAGATTCATAGGAATTTAGAGTTGGAAAAGAAGGGTGGCAGAACTATAGCTTTAGAAGCAGTTGCAGTTCTTTTCAAATGATAGATGGAGCATAATACTGTATGCATGCAAAATTGCCCCTTTAATTCATTTGTAAATCAGGCTATTCATCAGAATATGAGTATATGGGTTTTATATTGCAAGGACATTTCAAGCCTATACTTGCAAACCTGGAAAGTGTAAAGTCTGTAAGCTCTTCCATCCTATTCCAAGCAAAATACTAATTGGATTAACTGTATATAACATTGTAGTTTTCCAGTAGGAACTCTGGGGTTTGACCGTAATAAGTTAAACCTCAATGCTAACTCTTTATTTTGAGCATCTTTCTCCCCCTGCTTTTACCTGCTGATTTTAATCTTCTCTTTTGGAACTTTAATTGACAAGGTTAATTTTGAGTGCTGGGCTTTTCAACTTTCCATCTTTGGGGGGTGATTTGTTTTGTTTTGTTTTTCCTGGATACATTTCAGCATCTATTGCTAAGTATAAAAGAAGTAGGCTGCTTTGTGCAAAGTACCTAGAATAGCCATCAAGTACCCATTTTCGAGACAAATTCAGACTTTTGCAACTTGTGGGATTGCAGACCTTTGCACTTTTTATTTTCTGTTCACTGATTTGCGCTATACTTTTCTGACTTGTGACAAATCCAGGGACATGCAGCTCCTTGCAGGAAGCTTTCTAACATTTCTGGTTTCTCTGTAATGGGCCCAGTGTATTTACCTGTTCACACGTCTGCATACCAAAAGAAAAAAGAAAGTCTAATTTCTTTGTGCTTTAAATGAAAGTAAAAAAGGTAAATCCATTTTGAAATCTCAGTCTTCTTCAACTTCAGGTTTTTGCAGTTGGAGCAAATGGGGGCAGGCGATAATTGGTAGAACTGTACAGTTATGTAACTAAAAGCTTTTCTGCTGCAAGTTAGGAGAGCAGATTGCCTGGCCATCAAATTGTGACACGTGTTTCTAATCTTCCCACAGTGTCCATGCAGAGGAGTACAGTCAATAAGTGTGTATTGGTTTGGTAGATTAATGTGTTCAAATAAAGATGTTACCAAAATTTTCCTTTGGGGTACAAACTTTTTTTTAGAGAAACAGTGATGGTATTATACCACTTGGGGATTTAAATAGTATTTATTTTGCATAATTAATGGAAGATTTTTTCTTATATTGAAATTGTAACTGTTGATGGCTTATAGCATGAAAGTTGTCATCTAAAACTCCCAGTGGGGAATCAACTAGTAAAAAAATTATACAGTGTATCACAGTGGTGATAAGACAAAATATGCTATTTTATGGGGAAAATATCATGTTACTGTCACAGAAGAATGGTCAGCTAGACAGGAATCATGAATTGTGTCACCAATTTCACATAAATATTCATGAAAGCAGTGACTGAGATATCAGTGAGTCTTTTCTATACCCAGAGGGTGGGTGGTTGGTTTGGTTTGGTTTGGATTGAGGTTCTTTCTGGCTTTTGTATTTAGTTTTTTTTGATGGAATGACACTATTTGGATCTTAGTGTATACATTCAGGGAAAAGTGGTACAATAGAACTATAATATAAACTGAACTGAAAGACCATAGCGTTTGAACACTTTGCATTGTGAGTTTGTTGGATTTGATATTGCAGCTGTTGTCCTTTATAGTCCTTTTGTATCTATATGGAGTTGGGACTTCAGCTTCTCCCTGGCATGTTGACAAATGTGAGGTTTGCTTCTCTGTAGTGGAACAAGGCCATTACCTGAAAGAGAGCATCTGAATTCTACCTAAGATGGCTTGCTTGCTGCAGGATGAGGCCTATCTTGGACCCTTGGTTTTATTCAGTTACTTCAAAATTTCCCATAGCGTGTAAAAATCAGATTTTGTTTGTTTGTCTGTTTGTTTGTTGGATCACTGAAGGGCCCGTTTAAACTGACCTCAGTACCAGTCAGGGCTTTTAACATCACTTTGGTTAAGGATCATTGCCATAAAAACTCTGGGCTTGACCCTAAATGGGATGTGTATGGGGGAAGTTCTCTTTTGAGCAGAAGAAACAAAGCAGGTTTTGACACTGCACTCTTAGGCATCCATGGGATTCTCCAAAAGCATTGCCTGCCTTCCTGCAGATGCTTGAAATCACCCACCAGGGAGTTTGCAGTTTCACAAGAGAGTAGAGCCAAACTCTTGCCCCCAAGGCAGAGACAGAGGCATCCCAGCCTAGCCCAGGCTGCATGTCACTTGTGCTTGGTCTGTCATGTGTATTTGGGCTGCTCTTTCTAGGGAAACAGCCTCTTTATTGCCATGAAGGTGAACAAATCATAATTTTGGGAGGTTAAATAAAGGGGTAGAGGTTAAAGTGTGAAACACCAGTGTCCTTTTGTGTAAGGCATGGTTTGGGAAAGCAAGCAGGATGTTTATCCGTTCCGAAAACAGAAGTCAGAAATGTGTTGGTTTAACCAGGCATACACAGGACAGGTGTTCTTTGCATTTTATGGAAAGCCTATTGCTGTTCCTCTGGATCTAAGAATAGAGGAGTAATTTTAAAAGAAAGCGTAAATCTTTCTTGAACATGTTCTTTTTTCAGGGCTGCTTTGGTTTGTCTTACTGCTGTTGCCAGTATTGCATGCTCTGGTGGCAGCACCAGGAATGGACAGATATCTATAAAAATAATTATAGACCAGATTTACCTGATGGATCTGCTTTAGTTACTTGGTATCCTTTTGCACACACATATATGGATGTACATAATAGAAAACAGCTTCTGCTGAACAGCTGCCAGTGCTCAACTGCTGTTTAACCATTGAATGATGCACAAAATTGTCGTAACACTTCTTAAAACACAGTGACTTTGGATTGTGTGTACCTAAGATGATTTTTGTATGGTGAATCTAAATATTGCTCCTCTTCTATTCTAGTTTGTGGAGACATCCATGGTCAGTTCTTTGACTTGATGAAACTGTTTGAAGTGGGAGGTTCTCCTGCCAACACGCGGTACCTCTTCCTGGGGGACTACGTGGACAGAGGGTACTTCAGCATTGAAGTAAGTTTCTAATTTCTGGTTTTGGGTGCAAAACCACTTGCAGCATATTATGTGTATTTGCCGTCGTATCTTAACTATTTCAGGAATACTGAGGCTCTTCACAAATACCATGTTAATGTTGCTGGTGGTGTTTTTATAAAGGATGCTTAGAATCTAGCCAAGACTCACTATATCTGTGCTGGAAAGCTGGCATGGAATGGTGCTAACTAGTGGCCATCTAAATATTGCACAGAAGGCAGCGTGCTCTGTAGCTTGCAAAGGCTAAATAGCCTGAGCAGACGTGAGCTATTAGAAAGAGACATAACAGAAAACCCTAACCCACGACCCAAAGTTGAGTTTGACTTTTCGGTTTATTTCATCTGAGTTTCCCAGATGTGAAATTTTAGGAGAATGGAAAGACTAGATGAGAGGTAAATGGGACAAAAAGCCAGAACACAGCATGCTGTGCAGGAGAGAAAATGAGTAAGTTCTGTTTACATACGGCATGCAGGAGTGCATGATCTCTGGCTTTTGATGCAGCACTTGAATCCACAGAGAAGTGATGCGTAAGTGCCCTGTTGGTGATGCTAAGACCTGGTGTAGTCTCCAGATCGGGCCATAGCAATGTAGAGGTCAAATGATATCTTTAGCTGGCTTGTGAAAGAAATAGTGTCCTATCCAACCTGCCAGCTTTGACTAGAAGTGAGTGAAATATCAAACCTAAATCCTCTGCTTGTAAAACAACTGAGATGTTTTCTTCTATCCTGTGTTATTGTTTGATTTTACAAACTGACAAGATGAAGTGCACAACTGTTGAATAAAACCTGATGGGAATTTGTTTGTCTAGTTTATAGCTGACCTAGTTACTGATCAGTCAATCAGAAACACTTGGTGAACTCCCTCTGAGTCAGAGCAGAATGCCCATTACGTGTTGGAGGCAATATAGATCCTATGATACATGTCTGTGTGTCTGTGACTAGATTAGATGTCATCATGTGAGAACACATCCGCTGCTGTTTCATTCTACATTCCACATCGAAGTACACTGTTGCCATATTGGTATGCAAGTATAAAAGGCCAAGCAACTGAGTTGTTTATGTGTTTGGAAAACAAATCAGTGTATTATCTTGCGAGTGTTATGTTTAAAATTAGAAGTTTCTGAAAAATTCGATTCAATAAAACTATTTTTGCTTTATTAGTTCATTTTAAAATTTCAAGTGTTAACAGAATCTTTTGGCACATTTTACAAATAGAAATATGCTATTCTCAGTAAAGATTCTCTAAAAACTTAAAAATTGCAAGATTCTTTCGCCCACATACTAAAAATCAATATAGTCAGGATTTAGTCTCATACTGAAGTCAGCACTTTGATCATGATTTTTTTGAGCTTGAGTTCATTATTTTCTTGAGAACTAATCCACAGTGAGCTGTGAGCTAAATCACTGCTGTGGATTACCATGCTGGATTGCTTGGGGAAGATTGAGATGGAAGAACAGGAAGAGCTTCACAGACTTAAACCATTGTGCTGCTCTGTCTTGAACTACCATTTTTGAGTTGTGATAACCTCATTCGTATCTCCTGTAGTCTTTGATTGAGACAAGATGTGTGTGGAAGAGGAAATTTTGTCTTCCCTTCTATATACATAGGCTTTTAATAAAAGAAATAGAAGAAGTGGACTTGCTACAGCTTTCAAGTGTTTCTCTGACAGTCTACCAAAATCTGTTCCAGGGCTATTACCAATTAAAGAAATAGCAAGCCATATAAAACAAAGAAAACAGCCTATGTATAGGCAATAATCCCCTTAAAATCTCTCGTTTAGTAACCCGTGCATACATTCTTAGCAAATTGTATTCTGAATTCAGTTTTTCCATTCAGAAACATTGCTTTTTCACTGGAAGCAATATCGGCTTCTACCAGCACCAAGGAAATATCTCAGCTGACACATTATTTCTTTTGTATGTTAGATTCTCAAATCACTACTTCTTTTTTTTTTTGGTCACATAACCAATTTTCCCCACCTGTCACCTTGATTAAAGAATGTCTTTGAAAGGAAAGGCAAGTTTCTGTTTCGTAAGTAGATGTAGAGCTGTACATTCAGGCATGAACTCAGCACAATAAGTACTGACAAGGAAAGGAAAATTGTGAAGAATGCAACTTGGCATTTAGAGGGGGAGGATGTTTTTGGTGGAGAAGGGGACCTAAGTGCATGGATCAGGCACCAACTTTTGTCAGTACTTTGTGTTGGAGAAGTCATGCTAGTAAACAGCCCTAGCCTCAGTTCATATTTCTACCACACCAATCATATACTGATCTTTCTTCCATCCATCTGCTGGCTCCCATTTGTACTATGGAGATAGGAGACTATTGCAGTTCTGGGGTCTTTCCAAAAGAATGAAGTAGCTGGTCCAAGGTACTAATCATGAGTAATACAAGCTTTAAAAAAAATTCCCCTTGATTGCTGTGTGATCTCTAGTGTAAAAGTGACACCATTGAGCTTAGACCGAGCTGAGTTCTGATAGTGGGCGAGATAATCCTTCTCTGTGGGCTGCAAAGCATTTGGGATTCTTCTGGATGAAAAGTACTACATAATGCAAGCTATTATCATTAAGAACAGAGAAAGAAATTGCATAAGGTAGGTGGAAAGCATTTGATAATTCAGAGAGAAAAAGAGAAAAGTATTTGTGTAAGGCACTCAGCAGAAATGTCAGTCCTTGCCCTATGGAGCTTTTGATCCAAGGGCTCAATTCTTCATGTGCATGCTCCATTTTTTTTTACTGGACTTAGCTTCACTGCTTGGAGGGGGGGTGCGTGTTTTGTGTCTTTTATATTAGTTCTAAGCAACAAGTCAAAGGATGAGAGACTGATAGAGAAGTTACAACTGGTAAAATTAAAAAATTTCAAGTTGTAGGTAGAATGAGATGAGGTTTCTTGGCACAGACAGAATCTTTATTCCATATCTGTGTTCCCTTTTCAATTTGACCTTCTGGCAGAGCCTGGACATTTCTTCACTTAAAATAACAAATTTGTGCAATTTAATACAGTGCATTTGTTTCCTTAGCTATGTAACTGATAACATTTCCCTCTTGTGCTTGCACACCGTTCCAGGGGTTTGAGTCCAGAGTAGAAGACACCCCTTGGTTTTCACTTTCAAATATATTTTATGGTCATGGAGAGTAGAAACCCAAATGATCAAAACAGAGGGCTATTTTTAAATCTAAAGAATAGTTAGATCCTAAGTGGTTCTGCAGGAATAGGTTGTAAGGGGGAATGACTAATCTCTCTACCTGAGTCTGAAAACCCTTTTTTGAAAAGCAGACAAAAAGCAGTGCAGGGAGGAGTGTACATACAGACTGGTTTTCATCCCAGTCTTAGGAAAATGGAAAATCGCAGAGTAAAAACCAACTATAATGCAATAATAATAATAATAATAATAATAATAATAATAATAATAATAATAATAATAATAATAATATCTAAACCAACTTTGGAATGATTTTCTTGCTCAATTCCATATAACAGCATACTGTCTTATGTGTCACTTGACCATCATAAGGTACATCATGATCATTTTTGGCAGAGGAAAGAGTTAAAATATGGAGACTCGAACCAATGTTCAAAACTAAGAAAACTGGAGTTATGTTTTAAAGTTCAGAACATGCATACATTTCCCTTCCTGAAATTTCAGAAGGTGAAACTGGTTTTGTGGTATTTTCAGCAAGAACAAAGTGATATGTTTGGAGTGAGTCTGGAATTTGACCACTGGACCTTGCACCAATTAAAAAAAGCATCTGGCACTTGAGATGCTTCTGAACTCAGTGAACTGTTGGAAATTAAGTGGTCTCTCCCAAGAAAAGAATTACACATAAATAAACTTATTTGTAAATGGGGTGAAGTTAATGCTGGTGAAGTTGTGTGCTTATTATCTCTCAAGTATCTGTGAATTTTGAGGACTTCATTGGAAGAATAAACACCTTTCAGCATCCTCTATTACTGTAGTGTGTTAATGTTTTCTAATAAACAGCTTGATTTAAAATAATTTGAGCTGGTCAGGAATACTTCACTAGTGAAGTCAATAGTTTTTTCAGTTCTCTTAGAGCAAAGAAAATCCTAGGACTTTAATGACCCTAAATTCCCTTGCCCTTTTCTTCTGTAGACCAGTAGCAAATGTCTTTCTTCATAGCAACAATTTGCATCTTGTGATATCTCATTTTTGTATGGCAGTGCTCCTTAGAGCTATGAATATTTAGTAATTCAGCAAATTCAGATTATTTTTTATATATATTAGATTATCAGACTGGAACATCTGTTTGTGTCAAGGCCATCCTTCCAGCTTGACTGGTCCTGTGCCAGCTGTTCCCAGTGTGATTCCCCAGCATGCCAGGAACCCCTTTTGGCTGCAGAGGGAGAACATGTGATGGCACCATTTCTCCTGCAGTGATGCCATCTCTCTGTGGGACCCATCTTCTCAGGGAACAGCTGTGGCCTAGACACAAGGCCCCAAAAAGGAGAGTTAGGAGTCATCACTTGAATACCTGTTTAGAAAGTACTAGCTATAAGAATTGGAGGAACATTTACAAAAAAGAATTTTCTAGTCACTTTTTGCTTGAAAAAGTGGTATTTCTTTTTGGATATTTTTTATCTTTTCAGATATTCTTTTTAAAGGCTGAAATGGGAGTAATGTGGTTTAAGTAATAGAAAACAGTATATTGCTATTTTAATGAAACCCTACTTGTAGTGAAGACAATTTTTCTATATTTGCCCTAGTGTTCAGAATTTTCTTTGTGCTCAAGGGATAGTAGTTCAGATATGGCAGTAAGTTGCATCTCATGTGAGTATTCTGGTTACAGCTGCAATGTATTTTTATTTGTCTCTGAAATTATGCCATAATAGTCATCCCAGTAGCATGGATGCAGCTATGTGTGTAAAAAGGTACGTGATTTCCATTGGGATAGTTACTCCATTTTAGGAAGCTGTATCTGGACTAGATATTGTGATGGTCTCATCATTTCAGTGCACCTGAAATAATGCAATTTTTGTATTTAGGTGAGGTGTGTCTTAGAGAGTGGGGGAGTTATGCCAGTTCTACAGGTCACAAGGCATCAGTAGAGACCTTAGTAATGTGTGGCTCAAATTACCCTTTCAGGCATGAATTACCTCACACACACTCTTTAACACTTTATTCAATCTGCTGGAGGAGTGCCCGGTGCTGTCAGTCATTTGGAGGGGGAGTTCATCTTCTGTGGCTCATACAAAGCCACACAACTGGCAGTGAGCTGCATCTCTCTCTTCCTGCCACTACCAGTGCCATAGCACCCACAGGTGACCACTGTGATGCTGTGGTTCTACTCAGGTAGCCATGGTGATGATTTTTCAAGGCTCCTTATTTTAATTATGTAACTTGAAATGCACAGAAGAACTGTGGGGCCTTTGGTTTTCCTTTTCAGGATGGGCTGAGATGTGGAATTGTGCAAATGCTCAAATTCAGCATGTGACAGTGGAGTTTAATGCCAAGTCTATTTTGAAAATGTTGGCCTTTGGTTTACACAGTGCTTAATTGCACAGACCTTTTCTTCCCTGAAGCTGAGGCTGCCAGAAACTCAGCAGGAAAACAGCTTGACTAGGGGAGCTGGACAGATTACCTCTTTGTAACAAACTCATGTGCTATTTCAACAGCTGAAAGACACTAAAACAAGTAAGAGGGGTTTGAGGGTCCTCAGTTAAGAGTTGTAACTTCTTATATTTTTTTAAATATTAATATAATATAATTATTTTTAATAGGTTCAAATTAAACAGGCAAAAATACCTTACAGATGTCTAGATCGCAAGGTCCTCACTGTACATTCTGCATAGAGTTACAACAGAGCTGATGTTTAGTATGTTCTTAATGAAAAAGTTGAAGGGAGCAAGGTATTTTAAAATTTTACAACAGGGAAGCAATATTAGGAAGTACTTGTAGACTTTAAGCTGAGGTTTTCAATAAGGGAGATTTATCAGGAATCTTTTGACTTCAGTAAGAATTATGATATGTGAAACATGGGTAGGAAAAAATCAAAACCAGGATGTTTGCTCATGATTTGTTGTTTGGACATAAGGTTTTTTCTATGTAAATGACTAAGTTGAAAAGCCGTGAAAATCGTTGCCCTCATATTTGCTCTTTAGTCTGCATGGAAAAAAATCTTCTAATTAGTTCTTATTTACTATTACAATATCACTGAACTACTGAAAAGGGAGAAAGTTAAAGGAATCATCTAAACAAAATAAACCTTTGATATAGTACTGCTGAACACAACACAAAATGTGAATGGTGGGCTTATACATTACTTCAATTGTGTCAGAGAAATAGAACTTTCTGGACTGTATTGATTATCTTGTATATTCTCTCTGGTTCTCATGAGTACTTCAAAGGAAGCATAGAAAAAAAAGAAATAAATAAATCTATGATAAGCAAATATGGAGCGATCAACCTGTAAGCAAGTACCTAATGCCAATAGGTTACAAGTTCCATCTCTCCTTATTTTCCCTGCTTTCCAGATCTGGACAATATTTTAAATGTGGAGTGTTTATTTTAATCTTGCCAGAGCTTTAGGAAAATTAAAAACTTAATTATGAGAGCAATGTAAACCACTTTTTTTTTAATATGCCATTTCATCTAATCATTAATTGTGCTTTTCTAAAGGTGTTTTGGCAGGATTAGAAGCTCTAGGGTAACTTGGATATGACTGGAGCTTTTCTGGCATAGATGGGGGTGTCACTTTAAACGTCTTGTCTCACAACATTTACATCATTTTTTGCATGAGTCAGCTTAAAGTGGAAGGTTCTGGAAATTCTTGGAGGACTGAAGGAGTCATCATCAAAGAGAGAGAGAATTGCTCTGGTGGTGTGGACAAGTTCAGGTTTCTTGCCCCATTGGAGTGAAACCCTCAAACCAGAGTCTGCTGGAGTTTACACAGAAACAGAAGACTTTCTCCAGGCACACCCTTTGTGGTTGTTTTGGGCCACAACAGATGATTCCTGTGACATAACACCATAATCCCATGGTGGAATACGTTAGCATGATGTCCCCGGCACTCTGACATCTCTCTCTCTTCCTGCAGTGCCAATAGTGCCAGGGAGGCAGAAGAATTGGCATGAGCTGGGAGGCCTTCTGTGTGTTTCCAAGGGGGAGAATTAGTTTTACAATTCCTCAAGTATAATGCCTGTATTTTTGCTGTTTTCCTCTGTCTGCAGACCCTCTGAGTAGAAGAACAGAAATTACAGATAAAGAACAGAGCATTCAGATGTTTACATGTAATAAATTCAAGGCAATGACTAGTAGTATAAAATTCCTGCCTCTGTGTGATTATCTATGGATAGTGTGAGCACAAACATCAAAATGCTGAATCCCTTCTTCTTTTCCTTTTTTTCTTTTAAGTTGCCTGTGTAACAAACAAGGCAGAGGAAATCTACATGTTGAGATGATTAAAGTTATTATTCAGCTGTTTTTCAAGACACTCTGAATTGTACAAGGCAATTTGCACTATAATGTAGAGTCATTACATTAACAGCAATGCTGATCTGAAACCGTAGAGTACATTCTGAATTTCCAATCTATTGATTATTTAGTTAAATGAAATGTTGGTTTTTTTCCAATGGAACAAAGGGGAGTGTTAGGAAGTAGTTGTAAATGAAAGTGGGATTTTTTGAGACCTTTTGTTTCTTGTGCAGCATTTCTGCAGCTCATGGTAATATAAGCGAGGAAAGGTTGGAGGACAAACTATGCAGACAGGTTTTCTGGCTTTCTAGAGAAGACATTGTGGTCTGTACAATGTCATTGCAGGCTCATCTCGTGAGATGAGTGGGTCTTATTTCCATCAACTTCCTTGGAACTGTGAGTTAGTTTTCAAAACAAATATTTTTAATTGGGTGGTTTAGAGTGGTCTGGGCAGAGCTTAGCCTCTCCAAGTTTTTTTTTTTTATCTTTAGAAACACATCTAGAAGAAATGTCATCTCAAATAGAAATCTTTAGGAAAGAGAAAAGGCATTATAAAAGCTTTCTTGTTACTTCGTTTAATGCAAGAGCTTTGTGGATCTTTTTATCCCAGTTGTATGTAGGGAACAATGTTAAGTGAAAAATTAACAGGCTTTCATGTAAAAACTGTGTAATTCTGAAAGCTGAGGTATTTCCTGAAGTGTGAGTTAAATTGTTCTGAGGCAAATTTTCCTTAAGCCAGGAAATGCAGGTCTTCTGGTGAAGTTGTTTCCGCAGAAGGTTTCTGCCTAACGTTCCAGGTGGTGAGTGTGCACTTCATTGTAGAGATGCAGAGCAGTTGCTGTGTGAGAGCTGGGGCTGCTGGAGGCAGTGCACAGCTGACCAGGGAGGTGCCACTCAGCAAGAAGTGTAAAAGTCTACCAGAGTATACCCATATGAGTTTCAGCCAGTCCGGGCTGAGGGCAGGGAGGTGTTCGAATGTAGCATATGAAGAGTGAAGTTAATCAGTTGAAAATAAATGCTTTGCACCAATTACTTTTACTTTTTCTGCTAGATTTTTGTGATGGAAGGGAATGTAAATTGTTCTGTCATTAATTATGAATTCTATTTTTCTTTCTTGTTCTGATTCGCAGTGTGTGCTGTACTTGTGGGCCTTGAAAATCCTTTATCCCAAAACACTGTTTTTACTTCGTGGGAACCATGAATGTAGACATTTAACAGAGTATTTCACATTTAAGCAAGAATGTAAGTCTATCTTACTTTTCTCCTCTTAACTCCTTTCTCAGCAACTTAATCTGTTATTTTGCAAATATTTGATACTGATTTACAATTAGTAAATTTTCATGTACTTTTCATGTTAACTGCCATTAATTTTAAATTGTAATCCCTGTTCCCTGAGAGGGCAGTCACCTCTCAGTGGTGTGGAATGGAAGGGCTTAGACTCCCCCAGCTCCAATTTGAGCTTGCCAGCGTGGTGTGGGTGCATCTGGGCCTGGATGCTCTTGGTAAACGTGTACTGCTGCTGATGCTTTTTGTTGCAGCTGAGTGTTTGCTGCCCCATGCAGCAGCCTGGCAGGCAAAACCTGCTGGCACACCAGCCCTGGCACCTGTGACAGGCTCCTGATTGCTAGTTAAGAAGGGCCTCATCTAATGGGGCAGGAGAAAATGCAAGGAATTTTTATTTTGTTTTTTTCTTTTTCCTTTAGGTGTAGCATTTTCACATTTATCCTGTGTGTAGGCTTAAACTTTACAATATGCTCTTTTGATATGAAATCCTTTCTGTGTTGCAAGAAAGGATGCAGTGACACATAAAAGCTCATTAGATGTAGACCTTTACCTGCACAATGAAGCTTCTTTTTCCCTATGACACTGTAAGATGAAACTATTGCCACAAGTCTGTGTTTCCTTTCTACACTGGGGATAAAGGACATGTTAATTGGCTCAAAGGCTTCATGGTTTACTGAGTTTAATATGCATATTGGCAAATTAACATTTCAGCTTCATTGTACCACTTCGTTCATTTCATAATGGCATTTCTGTAGATAATTAATTATAAGGGACTGGTTTAAAGTTCTGACTTTTTCATAGAGAGTATATTGAATGATAGTGATGATAAACATTTAGCAGATGTTTTAAGGCTTGCTCTAGAGATTTCATGCTGACTAGAAACAGTAGACTGTAATGGTATATTCAGTTGTTTATTTACAGTATTTTAGAAAAATATATAGTAAAATTTTATTAATTTCACCTCAGAACAGGAAGAATTTTTCCAGCAGTGGATTCCTGAAGATATTTTTGTACGACGCAAAAGTTTGGGTACAGTCCTCAATAGCAGATAGAATAGTGAAAGAAAAAGTTTGAGCTATTAAGCATATTCCTTTTTCCTCTTAAATATTGATGGTGCTTTCTGTTACCATCCTAATTTTTTTAAGGTAAAATCAAATATTCAGAACGTGTATATGATGCCTGCATGGATGCCTTTGACTGCCTTCCCCTGGCTGCTCTGATGAACCAACAGTTCCTGTGTGTACACGGTGGCTTGTCCCCGGAGATCAACACCTTAGATGACATCAGAAAAGTAAGTCTTTGAGGTATTACTTATTAGCACAATGTAAGCACCATCTGACGACTCCTTGTGCCTTGTTAAGTGTTCTGTGCTTTCTTGGAGAAGATACAAAAGAGCTCTAGAAGAACCTCACAATATACAAAGATATAATGAAAGAGTCTCATATGATTGCAGTGAATATAGTTGGTATTCTTTTTAAATAGTCAAGAGCTTCATTCTCAGTAAGGTCCCACCATATTTTTAATAGTTCTGCATTTGAGTGCCCAGCAGATTGTCTAATTGAGGCCTAATAAGTTCATGCTTGTCATACTCTTATGTTCTGAGAAGTTTCTCAGAAATCTCATGGAAGTTCAGAGAACAATGTCAAACAGCTTCTTCACGTAATCCAGTGTTATTGCATGTTATCAAGGATTTAATTTTTTATTCACATGTGTTGTAGAAGAGGTCACAGTTGATATTTCTAAGAAGAGATGTTTAAACCATTCATTCTTAGTGTTCCCAGGAAAAAAACAAACATTCTTGTTTGCTATTGGAGACTTGCAAACGTGGATATATATTTCTGAGCTTAATATGTTAGTAAATGGTAATTTATATTCTGAGCTTAATATGTAGTCTACTAAGAAATGAATATAGTTTTAAAAAAACCTGACTTGAGCCGGTAATGACATGTTTTGGTCTAAAAGCAATTAGCTTAAGATATTAACTGCATTTTAAAAAATTACTGAATGCAAAGTTTTATTTCTGAGATAAAGATTCACTATTGCAGTAAACAAAAATGCTCTGCATAAAAATTAGCTGGTTCTGCAACAGCATAAGGGCAGAGTTAAGTTGTTTAGCTCTCAGATTCTAGATTAGGTTCATTAACACCTTCCCTTCCCCCTGCCCAACCCAGCAGATTTATTTATCTTTGGCAATCAGCAGAAATTGGGTTTGCTTATTTATGAATTTTTGTTTAATTTAATGAATTGTAATTACATAACCATTAATTGCAGAGGGCTGAAATAAGAAGTGTAGATATGCTGTGAATATGTCAGATGTGAATGCAAAGGTAAAATTGTAGAGGTCTCTTACTGAAAGTTTCTGAGTGTTGAAAACTTACAAAACCAATTTGTTCTCTTGAAATTTTTGAGGGGAGAAGGTATCTACTAGCTGCTGAATCATTGCTTGATCTTTCTGGTCAAAATAGAGAAGGTTTCCGACTGTAAGCCTTATTCATACACCATCTTAGCAGAGCTGTTCTTATATGAAAGAATTCTTGAGATAACACATGGTGTTTTTGTGTTAAAAGAGTTCTTGCAGGAGAATAATGATTTTTATGATTTTATTTTTTTGCTATGCTTCATCTCATTTGCGGTATGATTCTATGTAATTTGAAGTTTTAAATACCCATAGTAAGACCAGAAAGAGAAGTTTTTAGCTTCTTAATTTGGGTTGAGGTTATGGGAACAGCAGGACTGTCATGCCAAGATGCTGTAATGTAGACATATTGTCTTGATATTTAGATACAATTTTTAGTGAAAATGTACATAAATCTAAATGGGAACTTGCTTTAAAATAACTACTGTATGTTCTTGAGGTGCCTCACTTACCTGAATTGAATGCTCTAAGGTTTAAAAAAATATGAAATACAGAAATACTATATATTCTCCATTGTCCACTGGAATGCTTGCAAAAACCAGTAGAAAAGGCAAAAAAAAAGCAAACAAAAATTCATGTAGAATGGAAATCCACTGTAATTTTCAGTTATATCTGTTCCTTCTATCCCCTGTCAATGTTTGCAAGGAGTGTTTTGCTGTTACTTCAGCTCCATTCCTTTAAAGCTGAAGAGCAGATTGCTATGAATCTCTTCTTCACCTGCTCATGGATTGAAAAATAGTAATTCTGCTTCAAAGCTTCTGTAATGCATAGTTGAAAGAAGTTAGTATTTTTTTTTTCCTGTAATACATAGTTGAAAGAAGTTAGTATTTCTTTGTCTGCTATTTTTCTTAGTTAGATCGATTCAAGGAACCACCTGCATATGGACCTATGTGTGACATCCTGTGGTCAGACCCATTGGAGGACTTTGGAAATGAGAAGACTCAGGAACACTTTACTCACAACACAGTCAGGGGGTGCTCCTATTTCTACAGGTGATTATTACTACATTGAATAGATTTCTGTTGGTGAACTGGTTCTGGTTTTGCTGTATAAATGTTTGCTTGAACTTTGTGGTACTGCCTAGGTAATTAGGCCTTTTTTTTTCTGCAGACTAGCCTTGTTTTCAGAAAAATTCATGCTTGCTTTTCTTGAATCTCTTCTGTTATGCCACATTGGAGAATCTCTAAATCACTTGATTTTCTTCACCGAAGCCTGTGTGTTTTGCTTGTTTCTGTTCTTGTAAGTTAGAGAATGAATGTGTCACTTTTAAAAAGGGGTACATAACTACATTTCTAGTTTGAAAATTAAAACTTCATTTCCAATGAAAGATGCCAGCATTGGAAAACTGATTACCTGTTGTTCTGCAGGGTAAGTAAAAATTGTGATTTCCCCCACAGAGGTACTTTTTTTTCTCTTTTTGATTCCACATGTTTTGGAGGGGGGAATAATTCTTATTATGAAATTCAGTATTTGAAGAGCATTTGTTAAATGCGACTTAGTAGTGCAGACAAATGCCTGTGACATTCTTGCAGAAACAGGTATGTACCTTCATCTGACAGTGTGGGGATTTTAAGAAATTTGGGCTTTTGTTTTTTTATTATTGTTGTTAAGAACAGCATACAGGGACACCAGAGTGGCAAAACTAGCAGTGGAGGAGGTTAAATGGCAAAATGAGTAATGTATTCATGGAAATATCAATTAAAAAATCCATTTTTGTTCAGGAGAAATGTGAAGATGTTATTGAAATGTTAAGAGGTTGTTGAACTTTTTGAAGTGAAGCAGTTCTGCTTCAGCTCATGCTAGTTACACACAAATCTAAATTTTCCTCAATAAACTCAGCAGAAGGGAAGAATCCAGCTCTTTCACTTGCCTTAGAAAATCTCACCTTGAGCACTGACTGTAGGTGTTTAGTAACATATCAAAAATAAATCAATGGGTTCCACCAGCAACCAGGTGAAAGAGCCACTGGAATCAGCCTCCTTGTTGGTAACATCAGGAAGGTAGAAAATGGTCTGATGTTCAGAAATGAGATTTCCTGCTCCCTTCTTGGAGCTGTAGTTGCTGCAGCGTGGGGCCAGCTAAGAGCAGAGCAGTTTGCTCTGCAGCCTGGTCTGCTGGCACCCGCCTCCAGTGGGGAATTCTGCCCACGCTCAGGTCCATGACATCTGGGAGGTGCTCAGTAGATGTGTTTGAGCTCATCATGAAAGGGATGGCAAACTGCTGCAACCAATTGATCAGTGCAGAAATGGTCTATGACTGAGGGGTAAAATCATTGCTCATGCTCTCAGCAGCAGCAAATGGTGGAGTGTACCTGAGACTCCAAGGCACTGCACACATGGGGAGCAATAGTGATTTCCCCTCGTGAACAGCCTGGCAGACATGGCTTGTGCTCAAATACAGAGCTGCTTATATACTGGAAAAGCTAGATTTTAGGTTGGAGGTTTTTTCAGACGTCTGTTCCATAACATTGCCATAAAATTTCCTTTATATATATATATATATATATTTCCTCCAGAAAATGTATCAGACCTAGTCTGTGTCCTGATGCATATTCAGAAAAGTGCATGTTTCAGGAGAAGAGGAAATACTCAGAAGACAGCTAATTATCATGTCATCTGTGAGGGTCATATAACTGCTTAATGATTCAGTCAAGGCTAGCTTTGAGTCACGTTATCTGAGATTATATAAAGGCAAGCATTCCTTTTAAAAGAAGTACCTAGTTGCCCTGGAAGATGACTAATTGCTTGCCCAATGATAATACCTGGTGAAAAAGGTATCCCTCAGTGTGGAATGTCTAATTTCCCTTGCCTTTCCTAGTTACTTCTGAGTAAAGTTTCCCTAAACAGGCAGCTTGGCTTGTAAAGGAAAGACTGAATTACTCAGTCCTCCTTCAAGAATGCCTGTCAATAGAATGATTGTGTTAATTCTTCACTGAATAAAATTTCTTAAGTTTCTTCAGTCATTTCCAAACGGGAAGTTAAAAGATAGCAATGAGGATTCTGAATGAAGATCAGGAAGATTTCAGTCATGCCTGCGAATCAGTTGAAAGGATTTCTAGATGATTAAGATCTCCTAATCAATTGCAGAAAATATCTGTAATAAATAACTTTTATTTATCCGAGATTTTCATTATAATGACAAGTTGCAAGTTACTTTGCTCTGACTTTAAGTTATTTCCTAATGCAAAAATGCTGTGTGGAAAATGACAGTAATGGGGCTTTCTAAGTGTGCATGTACCATGTTGACTGGACCTCCCATCTCAGAAGTGCATGAAATCCTCTGAATTCAGCCAAAACCCGTTTGTGAAATGTTGGGGCATCTCTATGAGAAAGTATAAAGATTGTAGCTTTCAGTAGTCTGACAAGCTTCTCGCTGCATTTCTTACATGACCACTCTTATACAGCCTATTGAATTTCAAACTGGTCCAGTGTTTCTTCAAGAAACGTCCTTTTATATGAGTTCTTGAAACTGCTGTGGCTAGTTGTAAAATGTCAGATCTTGAAACCATAAGCAGAACGTCATTTAGAGATGTAAAGAATAGCCTGACTTTCAGAAGTGCTCAGAGTCAACACTTAATGCATACCTTTAGCATCAAGCAGCATTTTGTACTTTGGATTGTCAAAATAGCACAATGCCAAAATGAAACGTTAACTGTGGAATATAAGAAATTCATGAAAATATATTAAAGTTTCTGTACTTGAAAGAGAACAAAAAATAACAGGGATATGATTTCATTTTCCCTATCTGAAGTTTAAAATTGTATGTCCTTTGTAGTCATGGTCATGTTTGATGCAATTTTGTGAAAAAGTAGAAATAATTAATAGAGTGCTGTTTTTTTAAATTGTTCTTTTATTATGGGTTAAGCTTTTCTTTCATCCATACCTAAAATAATGTTGTGATCAGAGTATATTATAAACAAGAGGGAATTCATTTGTCCCAGAGTAATATTAGACCCACAGGCACACAGTTTTTCAGCTGATCCAGCCAGTAAAGTTTTCCTGTTTACAAGATTCTCTAGTTCTTGCCTTGAATTTTTCTGGCAAATATTTATTTGCACTAAGCAATTTGTACTGATCATGTCAATGACCCTTTGCACTTCTTTCATAAGTTACTGGTACAGTAGCTCTCAGGCAGTTTTATAAGAAATAGGTTGGACACCAGGAAGAGCTTCTTCACTGAAGAGGTGGTCAGGCATTGGAATGACTGCCCAGGGAGGTGGTGGAGTCACTCTCCCTGGAGGTGTTCAAGAAACCTGTGCCAGCCTTGGATAGCAGTGAAATGGTTCAATCTTACAGATACTCTGTGGTATAGTAATAATTTGGGCCCTACAAGCACATGATTTCAGTGGTGCACTCGATGTGCAAGTTAAGTTTGTCAATATGCGAAGATTATAGAAAAGTCTGCTGAAACCTTTTGAAGACTGTATTGTGTCTCAGCTCAGGGTGGGAGGCACAGTTGTATGAAGTTTTTCTATTTTCTTCTTTTTCAGTAATAGCATTTTAAACAGATTCTTTTGCCCCCTTTCCTACTCTTCTTTCTCCCAGGCCAGAAGCTTTTTGCTGCCCTCACATTGTCTGCCCAGATGTACTGGTAAAATTCCTTGTGTGCTCCATCAGATCTGGGAAAGCATCCAGTTTTAAAGAATGACTCTGCAAAAAAGATGTGTTTATTTGTTCTAATGCAGTTCCCTGTTCCACTTTCCAGTGCAGCTCTGCAGACAGCACAGCTAAGAGCAAGCAAAAGCCTGGTGGAAAGGGATGTTCTGAGAGTTGCTTAGGACAGCACAAGAACAAAAGCATTTGCCTTTGGAGACTCAAGTGCAAGGCCAATGGATTTTGTAGGAAACCTATTTTAGATGTGCATGTAATGTTACAGAAGCCTTTGGACTAAATCTGAATGTTCTCTTTTGAAAGAAATGCTTATGCCTCTCTTTTAATGGCATGATGAGGGATATGAAAAAAATTATGTTAATTCAATCTATTTTTTCCAGCTGTTGGTTGAAAAACAATTTGAAAACATTCGCCATTTTGGTTCATGTTAGCAAAGTATTGCTTCTCTTTTAAAACTGCCCAGAAGTAATCAGTGATCATGCAAAAGAGACTTCAGAACTAGCAAACTATGTTAATGAGGCATGTTAATGGAAGAAGATGCCCAAGTAGGGAATATCAGAGTCACATACTCTATGGGGAACAACATCTCTCTAGCTTAGCAGAGGGGTGTTTTGTTTTCTCTGTGAATCACCACTCCTCCGTGATTCAGCATGACACGTGAAGGCAGGAGGATGGGTCACTCTGGAAAAGCCTGTTGCGTGGGGGATTTCTGTTTGTTTGTTTTCCCTCTTGGCCAACTGCTTTATTTCTGGCTCATCTGAATTACAGTCTGGGCTCTCCAAAGCAGGGCAAGGACGAGAGTGTTTCTGGAAGGGTAGCGCTCTGAAAACCTAGTAAGGAATTTGATTGCAAGTCAGCCATTTTAATAAAAAAAGATTAGAAAAAAGATTTCCAAGCAGAAGTAATTTCTACAAAAGTTTAGTTTTGATAACTTTTGCCATAATGTCTGTTTTGTTGTCTCTTTGAAGGACTTTTTATTTTTACCTGCTTTTTAGGATTTATGTGTTGAGAAATATTAATTAATCTAATTATTTAATCTATTATTTAAACTAAGGAAATGCTGGATAGCATATGTAATAGCTGCAAATGATGGAAAGTTTGCTTCTCCCAGGCCCTGCTTCAACAAGAAGCTCAAGAAAAATGCCTGCAAGTTGCTTTGCTTTTTTCAAAATAAAATATCCAGATAGACTGCTCATGGGTTGTTGTGGTCTGGGTAGTAGAGCAGCTGGCATGTTGAAGGACTCATGCTATTCACTTGAAAGAAAAGAAGGCAGGCAGTTTATTTTTTTTGTAAATTTGCATGGAGCTCTGTGTGGTATCTCTGTCTTTGTAGATGTTGGCCCTGTAGAATCAGCTAAATTCTGCTAGCAGAAATCTTATTTTCCACAGATTTATGAAGAACAAGATAATTAAGCAATAAAAAAACCCCACCACTTTTGTACTTGAAATGGAAAGAAGAACGTATCATATCTATTTAGGAGCATTTTTTACCACTTCATTATATCTTCTTTAAAAGCAGTGCTTAACACTAGATGAAAAGAATACTGTGGAGGAAAAAAAAAGTGTTAGCCTAGACATTTTGAGCAGCTGCACTGATAATGAACATAATCAACTGTCTATCAGATTTTCGTGATAGACCCCAGTTTTCAGAAGTTAATGTAAAAATTTCTAAACAAAATGTACCATAAGTCTACATTTAGTCACAATTAATTATGAAAAGAAATGTATGCAAATAAGTTCTCATTTGCCAGTGGTTTGAATGGCAGCCTGTCAGCATTTGAGATCATTGCAGTTGCCAAAATGATACTCCACATAATTTGGGAACTGAAATTGTTTTATAATGGCAATCTTTTTAGACCATTCCAAATACCGGACCTGCATCTGAGAATATATGCTAGGTTGCTCATGTCCAGAAACAGCAATATAGCATTCCATTGGGTTTGTAGCTTCTAGCTGCAAATGACATTTCAGCTTCAAAACACCCAGGAAGGTTTGGAAGCAAGTAGTATAATTTCTCTTGGATAAACTAAAGGAAGATGATGCATTAGATTGGGGGAATGGGTTTTGTAAGTTTTCATCTTTTTCATGCATGTAGTTAGAAACTGATGGGACTTTTAACTGATTGCAAGTGGGCTCTTAAGGTGGTCCATGGAATCATGCCTGGGACAGCAGTTTTTCGTATAATGTATAGTTGAGATTTTTTAGTTTTTTATCTTGCTCAGTATGTTTAGCACAGATGTATTCAGTGAGCACATTTTTGGGGTTTCAGAAATCACAGAATTTTAAGTTGCTGAGGGGAAAGATAATTTGTTTATCAAGGAGATGAAGTTCAGGAAGATAAAAATCCCCAGTTTGAAGTTTGATTTGCCTTTCTTCTTTCTGTCTCTTTCCCTCTTGTTCCACTTAACCACCTTATTTTCTGGTGTCCACAAGCAGCCACTCTATACAGTAGTCAGTGAGTGAACAAGCTTGTTGTCTTACAAGCAACTGTTGTGTTAGATTTTTGGAATACATTAAATCTTAGAGTAATAAAAGAAAGTACCTTTTTTCTGACAAGCCAGAGGCTGATTGTTGTTATGTAATGAATTGGAGTTTCTAGCATTTCTTTGCAAGCAGCTATGAGTGGGATTAAAAAAGACACTGCTGGTAATGTTGTCTCTACTGAAATCTGCCTGCAGAGAAGGTGCTGATTTCATGAAAGATGCATGTTTTATGATACATTCTTTGAAAGCTAGAGCTCTGTGTGCTGCTTCTGATAATGCCATAACAGGTGCTATTACTTTTTTTCTAACAGTTACCCTGCTGTATGTGAATTCCTACAGCACAATAACTTGTTATCCATACTCCGAGCTCATGAAGCCCAGGACGCTGGGTAAGTATGTGTGGAGAGGGGGCAATAATCATAATTATGTATAATGGCCTACCATTCCCAAACAGAGCACAGAAAGGAAGAGCAGGTGAGTGAGAATGAACTCGAAAATATAAGTTGCAACAGCTCTCACTTTTTACTAATGCTACAAATATGCACACTGGCATTACAATGTCTTTTACATTATTATTAGTTAGTTACAAGACTTAATGAATGCTTTTATATGCCACTTACTTAGCCTTAGTGATTTTAAGTACTATAAAATAACCAGATTTTTTTTTATGCCAGATGATGCCAAAGAAAAACAAATTAATTTCAGAAAAAAGTTTGCAAATGTGCCAGAGTCCTCTGACACACTTATTGCCATGATGCCAGAAAAATGATTTGGCTTACAAAGGTCAGAACTGCCATCTTTTAGGACTTTCTCAGCCACCTGAAACTTTTGAACCTACTAGTTTTATACTTCATTAAAAACAAAAAAAAATTGTGGAATTCAATAGGCAGATAAATTTTTCTGCAAGTGTATCATTAATGAATTCAAGAAGTCTAAGCCATTGCATGCAAAAACGGTCCAGGTCAAGCATCAAGTGGTGTTGATGGTTCCCTATGAAACTATTGCCATTATAGAGGTAGAAATTTTTGTGCTGCTTTTAAAAAAGACTTTAAAATGTCCTCTTATTTGAAATGTACCATACTTGTGAGATATTAATGAAGGATTGGAATCTGAATAAATAGCTTTGCATATCATGCATAAATTATTATTATTATTGTGTTTGTTTGGAGGTAGAAAGCTTACCCAACTTGAATGGCAATAAAAGATAAGTTAGTGGCATTGTAGGAATAAAGTCAATATTCACTATGCATATAAAAAGCTATTCTAAATGTTTGAATTGTCATGACTTCAAAATGGTAATGCAATTAAAAGCAAGCTATTACTATGCCAGGTATACCTAGCATGAAATATGCAAGGGTAATGAAAATTCTTGTATTGCTTTTCAATAAAGGGTGAAAAAAAATTTTTGTGGAAGAGATTGCATTGAAATTATACAACAGTTTCAGTGCAACTTTTGTAGATGTTTGGTAAATTCTTAGGTTTCTTGTAGCTGAAGGCTAAAGAGCAGTGTTTGTTGTACTTGTGTCTAAGTACTGTTTGGCTGCTTTCTTTCCAATTACTTGCAGGTTTAATGCTTGATTGATTATTTGTTGGTCCAATAAGCCTTTTATTTTTCATGAGGCAGTAAGGTTAGGTAATGAAAACACACAGACATTAATAAACTGGCTAATAGAACAGAAAAGATTAGACACAGCCCTGAAAGTATCAGATGCTCTTTTCCCCTTTCCTTCTCACACCTTCCACATCCCCTGGCTTTGCCATTGCTTCCATGCCTGGAGAGGGCAGGCAGTGGGAGGTTCATGGGGAACACGCACTTCCCTTCTGGATGCAGGACCCTTCCAAGACACCTGCTGGTGCTTGCTTCACCTGCAGTCCCCCAGAGGGAAAGTCTGGGAATGTCCTGGGTGCTGAGCGAATTCACAACAAAACCCACCTCTGGCTCACTGAATTTCAGACAGAGACACAACTTTCAAGCATGGGTCCCTGGCCATGTCAAACTGTTATAATGAGAAAGTCTGCAGGAAATACTTCTTTCCTGTGGCTTTTAGTAGCTTGTGTGTGTGTTTTTCAGTCTTGGCATTTGTTAACAGCCAGAGCACTGATGCACTAGGCGTTCTTTGCACTGTATGTGGTGTACAAATATACATTCAACACTGGGTAGTAATTGGTATCTTCTGTTTCTTCCTAGGTATCGTATGTACAGGAAAAGCCAAACAACAGGCTTCCCTTCGCTAATCACAATTTTTTCAGCACCAAACTATCTAGATGTATACAATAACAAAGGTAAGAATTTAATTCCTGTTAATGTGCAGTAGACTGTACTTCTGTTTACTCGAATATGTTGGTGTCTTTTCATTCCTTTATTTATCAGTTCATGCCCATTTTCTTCCTCTTTTTATTAGTTAAAGCCCATTCTACTTATTATATAATACAAGCCTAATTAAATTCGTTACAGGCAGATGTATGCCTCTGAACAGAACTGTGTATTTTAATAAGCCTTAGGATATTTTTGTATTTTGACTGCAAGTTATTAAGTAAATGTTACACGGGAAGCAAAACTTAAAACAGCTCTATTAACTAAGAGAAGTATATTAAGAAATGCTCTGGGTGAAATGTTTAGAGCCCAGTGTTCCTTATAATTAATTATCTGTTCCTTGCTTCTTTCCAATAAAGTTATTGGAGTTTGTATGTGCAAACTGTCTAGCCATTTAAACTTTTACAGATCAGGAGTGGATAAAGCATGGGATGGATGTCTGAGTTCCTTTACATTTTCGGTTTTTTAATCCTTGACCACTGAAATGTAGAAAATTAAATATAAAGAAAAGAAAAAAAGGTTACTACAGAAGTAGGAGTCACTGGTCACTGTATAAAGGCTCCACTGAATGCAAGTCTTTACAGTTTCTCTGAACTTATTCATTTATTGCATTCCCAGAAATCTCTAATGAACTGGAAAAAAGAATAGTTTCTAAAAACAATGCTTTCTAATAAACCTGTCCTCCTATAGCTTGAAATGAGCAGTACTGTTTACTTTCTCCTAGACCCCATAATGATAAAATTGTGTTCCTCTGTGAACAAAGCAAAATAATTCTTTCTCAATTATATTCCTGAAAGTTGCTCCCTTGCAAAGAGATCAGTTTCTCTTATGAAGGGATATTTTTAATCTGGATGCTTGTTTGCAGAGGAAGCAAGCAATGCTTCTTTTTAAAGAAGTAGAAAAAGAAAGCTTCTGCAGGCATCATTTTGTGTTATAAAATTTATAATCTAAAAGCTTTTGTGCCATGAACTGTATGCAAGGAAACACTTCACTGGTAGACAATGGGGTTTGTACATCTCAGATTTCTCAACATGCCTGATAACTTGTGGAAAAATTAATATGTTATTCTGCAAAACCATGCAAGCAGAACTATCAGTAGCTACTTTTGTAAAAATTAATGATATAAGGGTTCTGCTAGCAACCTAAGAAGTGCAGGATGAAGGAAGGAATGTGTTCATTTTCTTGGTAGGATCATTGCTATTGGTGGAGAGATGTGTTTACTGTCCTGGTTGGCTGCTTTGAGTGGAAGGCTGTGCAATCACAAGTCTGTACAAGAAAGGTGGTAGAAAGTGTTTCTTAGGCATGGAAGCAGTTCTGTGCAATGAAGGCCATGGGTGAATGTGAAACTTTGTCTTGAAGGCAAATGTTAAATGGAAAGCAATTATTTACAATGTTCAAAACCTTGAATTTGAAACCACAGAGTTTGGGTGGTAAAGAGAAATGCCTATTATCTCAATTTCCAAAGAGAGGGTAATTTCGTTTGTTTCAGGATGTTGCACTGTGGCAGGCATGTGTTATATGTGGTGGAAAGCCTATTTTGATGGAAAGCTGTACACTGTTTGCTGAGAGGTGCAGGTTATCTGTGGCCCAGCTGGAGTTGATGGTCACTGCCAGCAATACTTGCTCAGAGTGAGCTCAGGCAAATCAGCACTGATGCAACATCAGCACCCATGTGCCACTCCTTAATATATAACTTGTTGTAAATTCAGAAGCTGACCTTTAGCAGCTTTGTAATGGATCTCCACTGAGTTTATCTGCTTCCTTTTCTCTTATTAGAAATTTTGACGCATTATTGTATGTGACGATTGCTCTGGCTCTTGGCATTTAAAGTACATCATGCATAGTTTTTCATGCTGCATTGCTCATACGTTTTTATCTGGATAGTCTCTGGGTGGTTGCTTCCCTCTTTAAGGTAAAAACCCACTATCATATAGAGTGAGTCCAGAACATGGCTACTTTTTGGCTTCCTTGGTTTGCAGCAGATAAATTAACTGAGAGCACAGTTTCCAACTGATTTCAGGAGAAAAAGGAAAGTATTTCCATCCATAGGTGTTGTCAGGGCATTTTCTCTAGCTGACTGATCATGCACTGGTGCAGAACCTGATTGATTTTTACAGGTCATCTGGAGGTTTGGTTACTGTCAATCCTTGGAAAAGGAGTTACTCTTTTGCTAGTAAGCACCTTCCCATCTAGTATGCATTCTCAGTGTTCCTCTGGTTGTCAGCCAACAAAGTCACCCTGAATAAATTCCTGAGAGGCTCCAGCCCCCACTGACCTGAAATGGGTCATTTTTAAATGCAGAATACTCATTTTTCTACCCCAGATTGATAGTTCTCACACCTGTTAAAGCAGATGTAGTTTCTTGAGCTTCTTCAAAGCACTGCAGGAGTAGACCTGTTTGCCAGCTTTATCCAGGGGCTCCTTGATGGAGAGTAGCCATAGGATCAGATCTGGGATCAGATGTGTCCTCAAAGAGCAGTAGGGAGGCAGTGATCTCAGTGCAAAAGAAGGTTTGACAGGAGTGGCTGAAGATAAGCTACCCAAACAAGCCCGTGTTCAGCATATCTGCTGTTAATAATGCTACCGTGGAGCCTCTGCATGGGCTGTCTCACAGTGCTGACCCACCATGGGAACCTCTTGTGGCTTTGCACTGCTGGATTCTGGCACTGAAGGGAGTTCTCTGTGCCCCTTTGGTTCCTGGCTCTTGCCTCATGCAAGTGTTGTGCACCATGTAGCTGCGGGTGCTGTCACAGCCCCAGGCCACACACACATAGCTTTGAGTGCCAGAGTGAGGTTTTTCAATTAGGAAGCTCCTGTCAGGGCTTCCCTCTGTAGTTAATGGAGACAGAGAGAGAGGCTTTTAGGGGGTGATTCAGAGACTCAGAAACTGCCTCGATACTGGGAGGCTTGTGTCCTCCTTTTTCCATTATTATCTTTCTCCATTACGGTTATTAATTCCTTCCATATTCATTATAATGGAGAGCATTGGCAAAGGGAAGGAATTTTTTAATGGTTTTTGGCAACTTCTGAGCTACTGTTCAGTGTCTTCATAACTTTCTCAAACACTTCTGCTTTCATTTATTTTATTAAAAGGCATAAAGATACTTTATGATTGTTATTAATACTTACTACACAAAATACCAGTGCATTGGTGATTCTTCTATGACTATTGCTTCTGGAGAGAAAGCTTATGCAAAAAGATAAATGTTAATTTGATTGTGGTAGTTACCAGTGACTTCAGGGCCTCAGAGATCATCAGTACTGACCAAGAAACATTGAGAAAGTTGTGTAAGTACAGATTTACCCCTGGGTTCCAGGGTGCCCATAACCAGGAGAAATTCTCAATAGCAACAGAATAAGAGGGTGCCAAAAATTGATGTGAATATGATCTGGCCTTCTATCATGTCTAAACTTCCATTCCTGTATTCAGTATTTCGTAATGCCTTAATTAGGGCTTGTTGTAATGCTGTTTATGCACACCCCCAAAAAAATAAAGAAAATCAAGAGAAAGATTCTACAGAAGTTTTACAGAGGCAGAAAAATTACTTGTAAAACACTGATGATGCTGGCATTTTCTTGTCACTTCGGTAGGTTTGTGCTTTTTGGCTGAGGGAGGAATTTTAACTTGCTATTTAAAGCTAGACTATTACCTTTTGAATACTTTTAAAATATTAGGTTTTGTAGTGGAAACAGAACAACCAGAGAATCCAAAGTTATCAAAAAAATGCTCAGCATGAAGTTTCTTCCAACCTGCTGCAACATACATGTGTTGTTACTGAAAGGAAAAGCAGGAAAAGGAAGTCAATATACAGGAGAGTTTCGGATAGTAAGAAAATAAAAGACATCTGTAAATCAGTATGCCTATTAGTGTATCATAAGTAATATGTCAGTGAAGTGCGTGTAAAGGATCAGCATAAAGTGTACCATGGATACACATGAAGAAATGTACCTGGTCCAGATGCATCTAACGGGAAAATTATTTTCATCTGGAAAAAGAGTAGTATACCTGGAAGACAAGGATGATCTGTGAGAAATATTAGCGTTTTGAGGGAAAGAAAAGAGATGTAACCTCTGTTTGCCCTATCAGTTTTCTTTAATGCCTTATCTCTGCTGCTGTGATGAGTTCTTGTCACAGAAACAAAAGCTTTTAAAGAAGAGTTGTCAGGATATCTAGGCCATCTCATTGCTGATGCAGAGGAGTTTGCCAAAAGTGATTTTTGCAGTCTGTTGATAAAATCTTGAATGTTACTTCGCTGTTTCTTTGCAACATGCAGTTGCATATGTAAAAAAAAATCTTCACAATTTTGTAAGGAAAGATGTTTCCACCTACAATTATCTTCACTTCTGTACTGGATTATTTAGAACACTACCTTGTATAGTAAATAATTTTCCTCCTTTGATAATATTTAAACTCCTTGAGCATTTTACTAACCCTTATCCCTGACCTGACTTGGGCAGAAAATGCTGTGGTTACTTAGCAACTCTTCTTGAGAAGGCACTGTTCCCAGTTGCACAGTTAATGCTGCAGTTAATTTGGCATTAAATCATAAATTGAAGTTCTTACTTAGGTGTGAAGAATTTGAGGGACTTTGATTCATTTTCTAAATACAGGATGAGTTTTCTGAAAGAAAATTACAAGAAAATTAGTTAAATTGTTTGCTAAAAATATTTTTAGGTTGTTCGTCTAAAAATATTCTGGGCTAGTATTTCTACCAAGCTCATTATTTTTTCCTCTGATTATTTTTTTCTGATGGAAATGTTATAAATTAATTTACACTGAAAAATTATTCAGCAGATTGTGAAGCAGGATATGTAATGTCTTTGAGAAATTCTGAGCTATCTGTCAGAGTTTAATGTTCACTTTGCTTCAGGCCTTAACCTACCTCCAAGTATATAATCTTTTCAAGCACCATTTGGGATGCTTGAGGGTCTGAGACATCCACTCAGATCTGACATGTGTGACACAGTTGTTCCAGGCTCATCTTTAACTGAGGGAGACCAAGGAGGTACAGTATTAGCTAGTGTATGTAACCCTGAAAAGATTAGAAGGGCTGTCTCCATTTCTAGCCAAAAGAAGGAGGTTTCTTACCTGCACAATTTTCAACACCCATATTTCCAGCCTTAGGGGTAGCTATGTTAAATGCTTCAAGCTAAACCGTACAAATGCCCTTTGCCTGCTGCATTAGTGTATCATTTCCCTCAGATTTTCAGCATCCAGTATCTCAGTTTACTAGCATTGGAAAGAAGTGTAATGTCATTTGGGCTATCTGCACATCTTCACTTTACAAAACAAAAGCTTTTAAAACTTACTTACAACAGCAAGTATCAAAATTAGGTTAAAATGTGTGTGTGTGTGTTAAGAATAATAAAATAAGATTCTTGCTTTGTTTGGTGATTATATATGATAATGGCTGGTGGCTTGGTTTGCTAGCATCTGTCTGAGTATGTGTTTGGAAAGAAAAATATTGAGGTTGAAGCCTGGACTAATAAGCAAATGTTGGCGAGAGTAATGTTTTCCTCTCTTAGGGTTTCCTAACCAAAGGAGCCCATCCCACTTCTGTCTCCTCCATCAGCAGCCGTGTGACCTCCACTCTTGCAACCTTCAAAAGCTGTGTACTGTTTCAGGGCTGCTGGTTCTCCTGCAGCTCCTTAGGCATCAAGCTAACGTGGACTAAAGAATGAAACAGAGGTGAAACCCCCAATCTTTTCCGAGCCAACAGAGAGGAAGAAGAAAGCTATGACCAAATGAAAGCACAGGGGCAGATAAGCTCAGGGAAACTCCTGCCGTTATCTGAGAAGCATTTTCTACTTGATCCAGAGGAAGTTTTCCTCTTCTGACTGCTAAGTAGTAATCAGTACTGTACAATCATAACAAGCGCTCATTTGCTTCATGTAAAATATCGTCTTCATTACTTACCTAATAAAAATATTTTGTGTGCATTGTGCTTGAAAATTACAGATTTTTAATTTAAAATGCCAAAAAGTATTTGTGATACTGGTAAATACCTTTCTTTATTTTATTCTTTTAAGAGGAGAGTTATTTTAGAAGGCTTCTCTGTTATTATCCTGCTTTATTGTATAAAGTTATTTTGAAGCAATTTGTTGAGGGGATGTACAGGTCATTTACTCGGGAGAATTTTTAAAAATAGTATTATCTGAACTTTCTTATTCAGGTATATAAATTAATGAGGTATTGTGAGGATATTTTTACTGTAGTAATCTTAAATTATCTTCATTTCAAAGAAAAAAAAACAACTAAAGCTGTTTTTGTTTATGTTTTACAACTGTTTTGCATAGGATTCAGGCTTTTTCAGAGGCCAGTTTTTAAAGTTCCCCATAAAAATGATTTTTAATTCAAATTTCACAGAATTTAGAAGTAGACTTAATAGATAAATTGAAGAAGTAGTGGGAAGGGGAGCTACCTCAGCTTACTAAGATGATTAATTTGAAGTTTTAGTCCTTCTAAATGAATCTTTACAACCATTAAGTGGTCCTTTTTGTGTGGTTTTGACTCATTTTTTCTGTAAAGCCACAAACTATTTATTTTTATTATGCAATTGTGTCACTGTAATAGAAGAAGAATGAATTTCGATCTGTTGCATGTGATTTCAGCTAAAACCTGTTGGAAATATTCAGAGCATTGACACTAGTTTTCTCATTTTTGCTAATAGCGGTATTAAGCCATTTTTTTCTTCCCCTGAGCAGCAGAATGACTGCCAGTTGTCAGGTCGGATAGGCAAGAGTCAAATGTAGTTTATTTAAATGGAGGGTGTCTACCTGGCAAAATTTCACATTATTGCCAGCAAGCTGTTTTCTGTGTCTGTCAGTGAGTAGGTTTCAGAAACTCCTAGGTCACTCTGGACTCTGTCATTGACCACAAAATGGAAGACATTTAACATCCTATTAAATATTTCTGAAGCAATAGACTGCATAAAAAAGGTTTCTTCTCTGATTGACACACAGTCAGTGAAAAGAGAGAAATAATCAGAAGAAATTATTCATTCAGTCCCTTCAGCCATCACTGCATTTCCTACAATGCTGTGTTACATTGCAGCTGTGCAACTTTATTGCTGGCTATTAAGTGATAACCAGTCCCTGGAACTATATTCATCTCTGGGGAGCCAGAATTGGGAAGGTTGGAGGAAAAGGGAAAGCATAGAACTATACACCTTCTTCTTGTGTGGACTGTTTTTGTTGCTTGTGTTGATTAAATATCCTGCATGCAGTCTTCTGTGACTGCAGTTTTTAAAGAGTTTCATGTCTTTAAGTCATTTTGGTGGTAATTTCAAAATTACCTTTTCGGGTTACCATTTCAAGTATGAGCCTGAAGTCCATTAACAAAATTAAACTGAACTTGGTACAGTGCTTTAAAAAGTGAGTGTGACATAAATATCTATATTTCTGCCTGTGAACAGACGTAGTCTGTGTGTTTGTGTGTTGATAGGAATGATGAGAATGTTAAATGGTGCAAGACAAATTGTATTAGTATTGATTCATATTATAGGGAGCACAGTCTTGCATGCCTAGAGTTTGCATAATGTGAGATGCAAGTGTCATCTCTTGTACAATACTGTGAATGAAATATGTTGAAAATGTCCATCAGAAGAGCAGTGTTCAGACTCTGAGTCATAAATGCTTTTTTCTGTTATCTCCAAAGCATGGTTGTGAGGAGCTCAGATAACTCTTTGAAGTGGGGGGTTCTGAATGCTCTGCTTCATTCCTCACTGGTGCCAGATCCCAGAGCTCACATTCTTGACTACTCAGTGATATTAATTCACTTAGCAGCCCATCTTAGGGGCAGGGAAAGCTGTTGACACTGCTTTCAGACTGAAAATGGATTTCCACTTCAGTGAGGCTTTATCCTGCTGTAACTAGAATTCAGGTGGTGCCACTGGATCAAGTGGGTGGGAGCTGGTGAGCAGCTCTGTGGGCTGTGCATGCTGTCAGCGTTCCTGGTCTGGTAGCCAGCCACACATATGGCTGATGTCTCTTTTATTTCTTTTCCTTCTCCCTTCTAGCTGCAGTATTGAAATACGAGAACAATGTTATGAATATCAGGCAGTTCAACTGCTCCCCTCATCCATACTGGCTTCCAAACTTCATGGATGTGTTTACCTGGTCCTTGCCGTTTGTTGGTGAGAAGGGTATGTATGTAAATCTGTTCTGTTCATAAAAACTGCAGAATTGTTTCTTAGTCACTGTGCATGTGGCCTCATTTATTTTAAAGGGCAAGAATAATTTGGAGACAGATGTCTCGCTTTTAAGGACAAAGTTGTTGAAATGGACCTGAGAGAGGCAAGCAATTACCAGTGGTTAATCACACTTCACATGTTTTTTTATAATTTCCACTCTTTGCAGTTGATGATGCTGTTATCTTTCTGCTGCAGAAATAGATTTTACGGCATTGCACACCAGAGGTGCATTCACTAAACAAAATTCTGATCTGCTTTTCCGTTCTAAGTTCTTGAACATTCCCTTGGATATTGCTTACTGCTTGATGGGCATCTCAACAGACTTCACTACATGGGGTTACATCTTTACTCACATTACCTTTATGGGTGGGTTGCTTTTTCATCAGCAAACCCAGAGCTGGTGATATTAAGACCAAGTCTGGCTAACTGTTCCTGGAGAGAGTAGAGGGATGCCAGTAGGAAGGAAAACCTACTCCTCAGCCCCATCTCTGCACAGGACATGTGATGCGTCATCGCTGGCAAGAAGAGTCTAAAGAACACAAATAATATTTTGTTGAAACCTGATGCTCTTGATGCAGCTTCATGCTATGAATGGCAAGCACACAAAAGGCATGAAAACACTTTGGTCTAGCATATTAAATGAATACAGAATACAAACTGCCTAAACTCCAAGTCATTCATTCAATGCCTGAGATGAAGCTTGCTTTCATCCATCCATTATGGAGTATTGCTGCAACAGCAATTACTGCCAGAAAATTCTAATAAACTCTTAAAAGCTGCTTGGAATAACAGTTCTCTCTTAATAGGGAACTGGAAATACAGCCAGCTGTGTCTCGTACCTGCAGTCACGACCCAACTTTGTTTTGAGCTACTCTTTTGTTTGAGGAAAGCTGCTGGTGAGATGCCTGAGGTCTCTCTGAACAAAGCAGATAGACAATATAACAGGGATTAACAAAGAATAGGCAGCTGTTTGCACTAATTGAGACACTACATAATCCTCACTGACATGTGTTGCAGACTTTTGTGAAGCAGATAAAACGCTTTCATTTTCTTTGGCTGTAAACTCAGCCAGGCTGTTTTTAGGTTGGGCGTGTTCTTCACACACGTTGCAGCACTGTAAGATGTTCTGTAAGGTCACTTTTTCAGAGGCTTCCCAGCAGCAGCGTGCTCAGGTGGGGCTGCAGGATGCATGGTCAGAATTGTTAAGGTTCTGATATCATGGTGTTCCTCATTCTTCTTATGTCTTGGGGGTGTTTTTCTCTCCTTCGTGTCTTCCAGTGGTCACACTTACCAATTTCTTGGAAATTTTAGAGCCCAAAGAAATGAAATCAGTCTTTTCCTTTCTATGCAAAACAATATTCAAGGATGTAAGAGTTGGTGTTCTACACAACTTGTTATTTATTTCCTTTTTTTTAATATAGATTTTTTCCTTCAAAGGCCAACCAAGGTAGGAAGCTGTTAGCTTCACTGGTTGTTGTTAATGTGGAAAGTCTTTCCACTAATACTGTCAGAGGAAAATATTAAATCCTTAACTAAAGTAGGAAAAAATCTGGCTTTGTCCCACCCTTTTAATTTTCCAAGCCTTCATAGTAGTCACAGAAGAGGATTTTAATAACTACTTGACTAAAAAAATTTAAGTTTCAACCTGTGTAGCTTGCACAAGGCTAGACAAGCCTGGTAACACTTTTGATGTTGCTTACTACATGTAGGTGTAGTGAAGTTTTTCTTAGTCTGCTAATTGCTTCACATTTCACCTCGTAACTTCGGGTTTTTTGTTCTCTAAGTTGCATTTCCTTGGTTTTGATTTTTAGCTGGGATTGTTTTTTCCACTGTTCTCACTCTGCGTTTGCTCTGGTTAGTGTCTCACATTTGTCTCTCTGGAAAAAAATGAGACCAGGGCAAGGACAGCCTGTGGCTGACCCTTTTGTGCCCAAGTTGCAAAGTAAGCAAGCTGAATATAGTCTGAATTCTCCAATAATGATGTATCTATTGAATATAGAATAGTTCTACCTCTAAGGAATGTACACCGTCTAGTCTTTTGTCCTGGGATTCAAGGGACACCAAGGACATCTTGCAAAGGTTAATGTTTTGTTGAACTGGAAGTATTGTCCAAAACCTGGATAAAGAAATACTCTATGATCCCTCTTGCTGTTCCTTTTTCCACTGGAATGTTGCTCCCATTCTCTTGGCAGGGAAATCAAATCCTATTGTAGTTTAGGGGCAAGAGGAGAGGGGTCAGTTTGTTACCTAAGTTGAGTGAAAGACAAATAATGTATTGAGGGGGGAAAAAAAACAGTTGTTGCCTACACCACTGACAGTTAAAAAAAAAAAGATCATTAGCAGATTTTTTTTTAAGTCTATTTGTTCTGTTTGTTGTATTTGGGAAAATATTTGTGGAGACTTGCATTTTTATTAGCTGCACAGGACACTTTATTCTTCTATTACTAAAGGTCCCATTGTTTAAAAAGTGGATGCGGTTATTGCACTGAATTTTCATTCACGCTTCTTCAGCTACAGTTGGCTCTCTGACAGACCAGGGAAGCTTAATATCAACATTTTGCACTTGTTCTCCATTTTAGTCACAGAGATGCTGGTAAACGTGCTGAATATCTGCTCAGATGATGAACTGGGAACAGAGGAAGATGGATTTGATGGTAAGAGCCTCTACCTTGGGTGAGATTGTTTGCTGAAATTACTTTAAAAGTTTTTTACTAACTGAAATAATTTTCTGAATCCCAGTTGAGTTCTATGCCACTGAAAGCAACTATTGTGCTAGACTCCAATGGATTTGCTTCTCATATGCTTCAGAAAGAAATAATAGATCTGCCCTGTTCTAAACCTTTTCTTCATCTTAGTCTTCTGGTTAAAAAACCTGCATTTCCCTCCATGAAATCTGGGTTGTGTTGTCATGAAGGGGTCAGATGATTTCATGCAAAAGATCACAAGTATTCTCATAGCAAATTTAATTATGTCAGTGAAATATTCTTACTGCAATGAAGAAAGCTTCCTGCAGAGCTCCTTCCCAAAATGTTGGTACTGCGACTTTGGAAGACTTGTACTTAAGGTATTTCTTTAGTCACTTCTTTTGATGCGCTTGAGTGTCTAAAAGGCTTTAAAGAGCAGTAGAATCATTAAAAATAAGCATGTAAACACAGATAGAAAATGTTTTAACCTGACATTTCTGCTAAGAGAGAAGTGGGCAGTTCTGTTGTCCTTTGGGTTGAAGTTTATGTGATGATGAGTTGCCTTGTACCTGGTGGTTTGACTGTAAATGATACTTTGTGTCTTACAACTTGTAGATTCTTAAAAGTCAATTTATTTTAGACATAATTTTCTCTTAGGCTGTGCAAGAATAAATAGCAGCTCTCCAAAATGTCCCTTCTTAATTTAGAAAAGCTGAAAAAAATCCGATGCATCCCTGACATTCTTCCTCTGAATGCTTCCAGTGTTTAAAAAAAAAATCTACAGAAAGTAATAATAGATAATCTATCTAATAAAAAAAATCTATGAAAAGAACAAAAATACTAAAAAAATCATTTAAATAAAGAACAACCTAGAAAAATCTAGCACTACTGAATATTCTTCAGATGTTTTTAGGCAGAATGAATGAACAAGGAGAATGGAGAACTTTCAAGTAAGACAAATATTTAATGAAGCTGTAATTAATAATTAAGATTCTCTTTCAAACTATTTATTTTTAATCTTTGGAACAGGAAGCTAGATCACAGGTTTTGCAAAATGTTTCCTTTCTGATGAAGAGGGCTGGTATGGATGATAGTACTTTGATTTTATTCTGAAAAATCAGATGGAATTCCCAGTTCTGCATTGGCCGTAGAGTGTGAACATGAACAATTATCTTGCAGGACTTGGGACAAAGGCTGAATTATTGAAACCGGTAATCAGTGAAGAGAAGAAAACACCTGTTTGAATATCGTGCCCATTTTTTATCTCATTAAATTTAAATAAGTCACTACTCTGTAATTAAAGTAGTGTGTGAAATTGTATGGAGGCATACCATGAGTAAAAACTGTGTCAATTTAAATACACCAGCAACAAACCATGTGCTTAAAATCCTTGGTTCAAGAAAGCTCTTAAGTGCAGGCTGAAATCCCATTGATTGCAAAGCCGAAGCAAAGACTTAATGGGAAAGATTTTTAAATGAATTCAGCCTTGGCCTAATACTTTCTTTTAAAGTTGTACTGTAAGCTTCCATTGGGCATAGACAGCCAATGCCTGTACTCTTCTAAAACTTTGGAGTGTTATCTTTCCTATCTCTAAGTTTCAGTTCAGGAGCACATTTTCAAAAGCAGAATGAGAAATAGGGAGGTGTTAGGGGTCTTGGGGAACAGCAGCCCTCTCCAGCTGTAGGAGGTCTCTGTATCTACTGTATTTTTTGTGAGAGGAGAGTGAAACCCCATCCTCCCTGAGTGAACCTCCCTGGGAGTTTTGCCATGGCACTGCTCCAGATTTGGAGTTTGCAGCATTGCAGGTGTCTAAGCAGGGAGACAGGCTGAAATCCTCTGGGCTCGCATGTGTGTGCAGTGCATAACAATATCTAACAGCAGTAAAGTTTCCAGCTGAGGAATAACTTAACCATTCCTACTACTGTAACACTAATACAGTTACCTAAACCTGCTCTCAGTTTTTTATGTATGAATGATTTCTCTGTGTTAAGCATTATGGTAAGGATGATATTAGAAATGTAGTTGTCTTTAGCATGTATAGCTAAAAAACAGAGTTGGCATAAGTTCATGTCTACTTTCCCAGGTAATTAATCCCCTTAGAGCTGTAAAATGGGCTCTGTGGTACTGGTGCTGCAGCTTGCTGTGGGCTCACACTTTTACCTGCAGCCCACTGGACATATTAGGCTAATGGGGATTGTACACATGGAAGAGACTGAAGGATTATGATATAGAAGTAAATTTGAGGTTGATTTAAATTTAAATAGAAGCTGATATCTGTAATGATTTCTTACTGGGTTCTGATTCCTTACCTATACAGCAAACAAAAATCCTCTTTCTCTCAAGTTGAGTTCCCTCTCTTTTTTCTTTTTTTTTTTTTTTTTCCCTAAAAGCCTTGCCTTTTGGGGGAGAAAATAAAAGATCTGTTTCATTTGTGTTCTCAGTGAAACAGACCAGAATGATTACCAGCTCAATCAAAATTATTTCTGTAAGGAATGTCTACTGACAGTCTTGTAGTGGCTCAGTATTTCTGCTGTTCTTCAGTAATTTCTGTCCAGCTTCCTTGGAGGACTGACTTTTTTTAGCAGTATTTCTCATAGAAGGAAATGCCCGATATCTGCAACACCAGATGGATTTTGTTTTATGGAATGATTCTTAAAAATCATTGCTATTTTTAGATCATCAATAGTTTTCAGGGCTCGCTGCTTATTTCCTTTCTCTCCTTGCAGTTTGAACATGCCCTCACCTGGGTTCCCACATGTAGTGAGAATTGTCCATCACTATGGTTTGCACTGATCATTCGTTACCTTCTTTTACACTTTCTTGCCCACTGTCTTCCCCTCTCATTCCTTCCTTCAAAACAAAGCCTCATCAGTATTGCCTGATTTCACTGCATGGTGTTCTTGTGAGCCCTTTTTTATTTATTATTATTTTTAGTTCTGAGTCATGTATGTTGCATCTAGCCATGAGCAGGATGCTCAACAGCATGTATTCCTTTTTTTTCTCCCTGCCCCCTCACCATTTTTTCCCTCCTAAGGAAGCATCATGGGGATCTGATCAATTTGTTGTAGGCAGGTTCTGTGTAAGCTTACTGTGAAAAAACCCTAAATATCATAATGCCCTTTATCTCATATATCCCTGCTGGCCTGTATTGGCCTTTTGGTTTCACTCACTTTAAAAATGAGAGAACATGATAGGTCAACTTTTCCTTATCTCTGATAGTTTCCTCTTGCTGTACTTTTTCTTTCCTGTTTGCTGTGGTGGTTGCAATATAATCTGATCCAGAAAAAATGTCTTGGGCAAATGTTAGTTTATGTGCTGTATGTTTGTGCATCAAACATATCACTTAGCAACCAGAGCTGCAAATACCTCTACCTAGCATACAGTCAGAGTTCTGTTTTGTTTTAATTAGCAACATTTCTGGCCTCATGCATTTGATTGAATAAACTAAACTGCTAATTAAAAGGGTACAATAATGCAATAAACAATTTGACACAAATGCACTGCTTGCTTTGTATGCATCCTTATCCTGATTTGGCATGAAGACACTCCTAAATTGCCTATATTATTTTGTGTATTGCCTTCAACATTGTAGCTCTCAGCTTTCTCACAGAAAAGCCACTGTCAGAGCCATTAGCTATAGCATTTATGCCTTCATTGGAAAACAGTTTCCCAATGCAGTTCCAGCCTAAAGAGAATTCCCAAGTCAAACATCTCCTGCCAATCATAACCTGGTTCAGCTGTGAATTGTAGTATGTGACATTTGCCACATCTCCTCAGTACAGTAAACTGTGCCTGAGGCCAGCTCAGCAGCAACTGAGAGAGACTGATAGAGCAAAAGCAAGGTCCTTGTCCTTAGGTCCGTTGCTTACCAATCCCTTGATACTACTGATGAGAGTGTCTTAGCTTGACAATAAGTTGCTTTATAGCTGGGAGAGGAATGGAGCAGTTTTCCCAGTCGTTTGTATTTGTTCTTCCTCCAAACCAGCAAGGCTGGACTGCAGTGCATACTTAATTTCTGTGAGTTCGTGACAGAGTGCCATTTTTATGTGATCTTTGTTTTTATTATTCACTCTGTGGTTTGGCCAGATGTGGTTGTTCCCATGCCCAAAGCATTTTTCCTGTGAGTGATATTAGGGCACATCTGTGTGCTCTGCCTCTGGACCAGCCTGGCAGCGTGCACTAGATGACCAGTGTCCCCAGAACATGTGCCCTGCTGCAGTTGTGCCTGGGCACCAAGTGCTGCACTGGTCTTGCCCTCAAACAGTTGATTTTAAAATGCCTTGCACAGTGGTGGCATTTGAATTTATTCACTAAGAGCTGCTGGAGCTTTGAACAAACGCAGGCATGCAGCGGGTAGCACAGATGCTGGTAGGAGCAGCAGGCATGGCTGTGACAGTAAGCTACTCTGTAAGATACCAGGTGCAAATAAGATGGAGGAATCCCTTTGACCCTTTTAACAACAGAGGCATCATCACGCAGGCACACCCCATATGGCTGGGGTGGGGCTGGTTTTGAGAAGTGATTAAGCCTTGTCAAAGCAGCAGCAATAATGTAGGAGAAAGTCTGTGTTCCAGAGGTGGTAACATCACTGCTGGTCTCCTGCTTGCATGTTGATTTCCTGAAAAACCTACTAACAAGGCTTTAAGCTGAAAAGATTTGGGGTTGTTTTGTTTTTGTTAGGTTTTTTTTTCCCCTTTCGTTTTCAATCTGTTTCTTTCCTTTTGGATGTTCTCTGCTTAATTTGTTTCTTTTCTGTTTTTCAGACTTACTTAAACATTACATTTCCATTGATGTTGTCATATGTTCTGTATTATTTTTTTGTTTTCATTCTACAAACATCACTGATCTTTTTCTTTCCCCCTCTTTGGAATTCATAAGAAGATCCCATTTATGCACAGAAGAAAGGTATTCAATAAGTTGGAAGGCTTAAGTTTTATTAATTTTCCTAATGCCTAGCTACATAATATATATTAGGATACCAGTAAGAGATTTGGGGTTGTCTTTTTTACTCAGAACTGTTTTAAATCTGTTCAATCCTACATCTCAGAGTATTGTCAGCATTTATATTCTTTTTTTTTCCTTGTTGTGCTTCTTAATCTGAACGTTTAAATTACATTTCGTTTAAATTACGTTTCATATAAATCCTTCATATACAGTTTGCAGATTCTGTGTCTTGATACCAACTTGAAATCCAGTAGAACTTGTTAAATTACTAAAGTAAGATTCAAAGCTTTTATTTTACCCCCCAAATAATTTTTTTACTTTAAACTTTTTTTTTAAGTTCCTTCATTCAAAAAGGGTTTATTTAGATATTGGAAGATCTTTTAAAGATATTTTCCAGCCTAATAAATGAGTCTGTGATTCTAAGAAAGGAACATAAAATCTTGAGAGTATATCAGGCAATGTTTGCAAGGGCTAAAATTAACTCTTTTAGCTATAGCCCGTTCTCAGGTTCTGATCCATTTACTTTCACATAGGTGAGTGCTTAAGTGTAGCTCAATTAATTCATCAGGATTTGCAGTAATAGTGAATTTCAAAATATTAAACTGGACACAGTTGGAATGTGAGTCTAAAATTTATGTATAAATAGTTAAGAAATCCACATACTGTGTGGTTATAATCTTTAGTCAAAACTAACAGAGCAATAAAACGTTGTGAATATCAGCTGCATTATTTAGAAAATTATGTTAATAAAGCCAGAGAGGATAAATAAAATTATTAGTAATATTTAATAAACAAAAAAAGTTAATTAGTAAATTAGTTAGTAATTAGTAAAAAATACTAATATTTAATAAAAATATGTCATTTCCACAGATTTTTTTAAGCATATTTTTTAGTAACGTTTAAATGAGATACAAAATATTCCCTCTGAACCTGTTGTGCTTTATGATTAAGGAATGTGGTTTTTTCTATTATTGTTTAGTATTTATGTGTAGGACGTTGTATTTCACTTCAGTCATAAATTATATTTCCAGTTTTCAGTTCTCAAATATTCTAGACTGTATTTTTAGTTGCTGTTCAACTCTTTGAATATCCTTAGAACAGTGTGGACTTGGAATAAACAAGTAGGATTGTGATGCTTAGGGAGAAGAAAGGAAGGCAAATTATGCTTAAGTGTTTTCAGGATAGGAAAGGCTGAAAACCATGTCTTGTCTATCTTGAGAGTACAGTTCTGTGAGATCATAGTACTGAGGCAGGAAGGTACAGCCTTCTGTTCCTGGAGAACCCAGCTGAATCAGTGCTGTTTTATTTAAATTTTTCATTAAGCTGTTAAAACTATATTGCATTAATTCAGTTACAGCTGAATTACAGCTGTTTCTCCCACTCTTTATTGTCTAGAATTAGACATTTAAGATCAAATATTCATAGCTTTTATCTTTACATGTTTTAATATTTGTTTTATATTTTTATCTTTATATGTGGGAGATCTGAAAGCCATCATTCTGAGTATCTTTTAAGGAGAAAGCTAACTTTATTCCACCCAAACCCAAGACAATATTACATCATATCAGGAGCCACATTTTCCAATACACCATCACCCTTCCTGGTTTTGGTAGATATCATTCCCATAAGTCTTTGGGCTATCTCCAAAAAAGTCCATTGAAGTCATTAGTTCCATGACCTTGAGCTCCTGTCATAACAGTTTTTCAGGGCAGGAAAGGTGGTGTATGGTGTTGGATTGTTGCATGCTGAAGCCAGTTCTGATTCCATCACCACTTGTCCAGTTTCATCAAAGCATACTCTTCACTAATGTTGTCCTCCTCATTTTTGCCCCTTTCTGCTGGTTTAGCTTCCCTGATGGGCTCTACAAAATGGATCAATTTGGTAGGATTTGAAAACAGAAATCTTGAATTCTGGAGTAACAAAGAAGGAAGCATTACTGTGGTGTGTAGTGGTGTCTGAACAGGCAGGAGTTGTCAGGCAGCATCCACACAAGTCAAGGTTAGCTGCTCTTCAGAAACCTTGAGGAGAGATCTCTGTGATGTATGTGGTTATGATTGTGATAATTAGTGAAACTGGTTTTCTGAGTAAAACAAAACATTTTCTTGGAGATGTGGGGGATCGTTTATAAGAAGTACTGTTTACTTTTTCCATTCAGGTGGTTCTCTCTTGCATGTAGAGATTTTGATGCTATCCGAGTAACAAGTACACCTCAAACTCAGCCAAACTGTAGTCTGTGTTGCGCTATACCTTTTTTTTTTTTTAAGGCAGAGTGTTGTGGGAGTTCACAAATTTCAAAGAAATTGTAATTTTGAGCAGGCCATAGGAGTGATTAGCAGGAAGTTGCTCTATGGAATTCTCTCAGTCACTGCCAGCCAACACAATCCCTACCATCTCATGCTTGTTTCCAGGACTCTGCCCTTAGGTTTTATTATCTTCTAAATAATTTTTAACTAGGAATGAGAAAAACTGTTTTTAGTTTTGACTGCAAATGTGGCTTAGTTTGGCAAACTGCAGCATTAATATGATGTTTCTTGTATTTAGTGTTGAGAATATTTAGTGATGAATTGTTTATAAATCCCTATAACTGTTTTTAATGTCTTTTCCATAGGAGCAACAGCTGCTGCTCGAAAGGAGGTTATAAGGAACAAGATACGAGCAATAGGAAAAATGGCTAGAGTTTTCTCAGTGTTAAGGTAAGGTTTTATGCTGGTTTAGGTTTTTTTAGTTTTGAAGGATATCTTTGAATTGATACTTAGAGCCCTCAACTGTTAATCAAACAGCAAATTTGCTGTTTTAGTATACCACCCAACTGAGTTCTACTGCAGCCTTTTAGAGACTGTTTTATTTATACAATGCTGCTATTTATTTTGGCTCTGAATAGTCTTCCTTGGGGCTTTTGCTGAATATAAAACAGACAAACAAAAGAAATAAGAAAAAAAAATTCCAATTACTATTTTTAATGACTTGTGCTGACCAGGTGTGCTAATTAACTTTTAGCCACTGTGAGGCAAGCGTTAAATGTGGGGAAAGGGTATGTTATACATCACCTCTCATTAAAAAAGAAGTCAGCTGTCACACTTTGTCACCCACAGATGTTGCTACAGCCAAGAGTAATGATGACTAAAAATGAAAGCATTAGGGTCATTTACCTAGAAATCCAGGAAATGGTTGTGCAGGCGATGGCAGCTTGTTCCTTTGGGCTGTACTCCCCCAAACACATGAACATGAGTAACTAATTGCTACCCAATGTTTAGAACTCTACATTTGATGTCTCTAAGCAGAAGAGAAAACATGCTGTACTGTGCTGAAGTCTAAATGTAGAAAATACAGTTCTCCCTCCCTTTGAGCAGAGCGATTTTTTCCTCAGGAAGCTGTATGTTGGTCTGCTGTAGTCAGTTGATCGCTATTATGCTCAGTGAAAAAACCAAGGGAGTTCTAAAACATTTACTGTTATGGTTACATGATTGATGTAAGAAGAATAAATAAAATAGTTACTTGAAGAATATACTATTTAATTTTGGTGGAAACTGTCCAACTTGCTTGCTTTGAATGCAGCATGCCAGCAGTGGGCAGGTTCTCTGTAGGGCTTTGCATGGGCACAGCAGCGTGCCCACGCCTTGTAGATTGCAGCAGCATAGCTGTAAATAGCAAACTTAGATGGAGGACTTTGTACCTGGGGTTCCCAAAGTGTTACAAGTGACTTACTGGTGATGCACGATCTACTTCAAAGTGGTGCCCATTAAAAAAAAGAGGTTGGCATCATGCATTTTCCCTGAACAAGATGGGGGAGCAATCAAATGTTTCCACCTGCTCCTCTGTACCAAGTCTGGCAGAGAGCCTGGAGGTGGCTGCTACCACCTTCCTAAAACAGCACAACTATTTTTCTCTAATGATAGTTGAGCAAACAAATTTTGGGAAACTTGGCTTTCTCCCATAACCTTGAACCACAGCTTCTGGATTGACTATATTCTATTGTGAACTACCTTTTAAAATAAAGGATTAATTCACAAGAATTGTGAACTTCAGTATGCAGAACGATCTGAAATTGGATGATCAGCTGTTATATTTGGGGTTTTACAACTCATAGATGATTGACATCAGCCATGTGTCAGACTTTTTCAAAGGGATTTATAGGGCATAAACTTTTCCATGGTTTCAAGGATGGAAGAGGGATACAGAATAATTCCTGCATATCCTCTGTTGACAATGATATGCATAAGCCTTATATCTTAATTCTACCTTAGCCAAAACCAGCACAGCCTTCTACAGCTCTTGATTACTGATAGTCCTGAAAGCTTTGCAGGAAAGACTGAAGATGAAGAATAGATTTTTTTTCTCCCTTAGCTTTAACCAGCAAATACAGCACATCTTCACTGTGATCCAAGGCATATTCAGCAAATAGAGAGGTACCTGCAATGCATGGTTTTGGTGACCAGTCTTCCAGGGGGATGAGTAACATTTCATCCCAGCCACTACTGGGAATACTTGTTCTCTTTTCTTCTCAGAAAGGCTGATTCTCCTCAGCTAGGTGGCAGGCTGCTAGACAGCAAAAATTCCACAAGGTAATCTTGCAAACACTGTTGCTGTAGAAAAGCCTGGGATATTTTTTCTGTCTTGCCAGCATAATCCATGTAAGCACAAGTGTCAGGTAATTGTGTGTAACCCTAAGAAGACTGCAGCGGTGCCATCATCTATCTACATACCAACTTGTTCTGGAAACCTTTGAAGTTCCTGTTTGAGTGATTGTGTTTTATGAAGTTTATTTCACTAATTCTTGAAAGGCTTTCTGAATGATTAGCACCTAATCTGACCATCTGCAAAGGACTTAGTCATCTCTTCTTTGGGCTGGAGTGGTCCCTTTCCTCGAGGATGTAACTTGAATGTAAAACTAAACACTAGTGTTCAGCTATTTTAGTGTAAAAAATTAGATATCAAAATAGTGTTGTATTGAGTTTCAAATATGATAAATGAGCTTTGATGAAAATAGATATTGTAGAAAGATTGACTTTAGCTAAATGGAAGACTTCATGATTCCTTGTCATTGCCTCTCTCTGACTTTGTTTCTCAAGTCTGACTTTTCTTTTGGTATATCTAGAGTGGAGAGAGGTAAATACAATACTTAACCAGTCTATTCTTATCAGTTACCTTTTTTTGAAATGGAAATAATTGACATCAAACAGAAATTAAGGAACACTGAAGTCTAAAACATCTCAATATTTGTAACACACACCTTTCTTGTGCATATGCAGTTTAAAGATAATAAAAATACAGTCAGTAAACTTACCTCATGAGGGTGGAGCTAAAAGTGCAATTGCAGTTTAATTTTTAAAGAAGATATGTAATGCAATGAATAATTGAGAGAAAGCAAAAGCTTTGCTATGTAACTGTTATGATAAATGATAAAAATACTGTGTGAATTCTGAAAATATATTTTGCTCTTGCATTAGTTCTAATTGCTTGGGAAACTTGCAAGCAAAATGGTCACAATTTGATTTTGACTATTACATAATGAAAAGTAAGTGCAAGCAGAATTATTTTCAAACTAAAAATAGAACTTGAAGAGTATATGTAGTAGGTAAACAAGAGTTGTTTAAAATACGCGAGTCATTCGGGCATGTAGGTCCAAAGAAAATTGTAAGTAGTAGAACTGCTGAGAGACAGTTTTCTAGCCAAAAGCACATTATCCTCAAGTGAATGTGGAGCTAAATTCTGTCTTTGTATTTGCTTCCTCCAGCTTAATGTCATTATATACTTCAAAGTAAAGCACTTCAAAATAGGTTTCTCTTAAGGAATTGGGGTCAATTTTGCTGCTGAGAAAGTATGTCATCACAGGCAGCATTACAGCCCTTGTAGAAAGCTTTACTTAAAGTCTTCTCTGGACAGAGTTGTTGTATTCCTCTTGCCATGTATTTAAAAACTATGTATTTGGAGACCAGCAAAGCATATTTTGGTTTCCTAAACCAATTTTCTTGAATCCATATTATTTTTAGCATACAAAATTATTAAGGACAGTACTAGCAAGGATGAAAGTGCTTATTTTAATGAGCTTTTAGCTGCCTTCCTTTAAGTGGCTGGTGATCATCAATAAATGATGCACCTGCCTGCTAGTGTAGACAAGAGCAAACTAACAGTTTAAGTTGATTTTGGACCACACAGTGTAAAATGCCAAAATGCATTGTTGGCAATATCTGATCCTTCTGGTCCTCCTCCTCTCAGATTTGGCTTTACAGACATATTGTTCCATAGGTGCAGGTTATAATGTTAAATACAGTAGGAGTTGCATATGATTTCAAAGCTTAACCACATACACAGCCATGAAGGGGACTTCACTGGTGCTGATGTTATCACCAAATTCAGTCTATCTTGGCAAAGAGATTGGAGATGATGAAATCATTGCAGGGCATGTGTAGCTTAAGATGTCTTAAACATATCCCGTGTTTTTAAAAAATACATTTACTTATTTTTTGTGGTTTTATTTTTCTTTTTTTTTTAACTTTTGCAGAGAAGAGAGTGAGAGTGTGCTGACACTGAAAGGTTTGACTCCAACAGGAATGCTGCCCAGTGGTGTGCTCTCTGGAGGAAAACAAACACTGCAAAGCGGTAAGCCTGTTTGCCTGTGTGTCTTGTCCTGTGTAATAAAAGCAATTGGTTTTCAACTGCAGAACCTAAGAAAAGTAAGCACAGCTGTCTCAGGGGAAAAAAAACCCAAAGGACAGAAAAAAACAGGCAGTTTTTTGTGCTGGAGCATTTGTGAGCAGATCATGTAAGGCCACTTCTCAAGACTTAGTACATGTCATCAAATATGAAAAATGGGGGAGGGGGGGACCCTGAAAATCAAATCTTCAGAATGGTAGCTCAGGACTGTATGTGCAGTGCACTCTTTCTGTAGTTTGGAGCATCTTTTGAGATTTTTCTTAAGAGCAGTCCTTGATAAATGGAGTACTGAAGATTCAGCTTAGCTAATGACACTGAAACTCTTTATCTAATTTGTTCTTCCTCATGGAGAACCACCAATGGAAAATAGCTCTAGAATTAGATTTTCTTTCCTAGAAATTCTAGGTGACATGAGAACAATTCCACTCTGATTTAAACCCAAGTGAAGGGAGGCTCTTACAAACACCATGTTTGCCTTGTACACAAACACAATACAGATTGTCATTTTTATATCAAGTGCTTCTTGTTACAGGAAATTGGTAAGTCTATAGTAGGGCTGCCTTTGTTCCCTCTAGGAATAAGAAGTGTGAAGTGTTTAGTTTATTACTGGAAGCTCTCCTTTTTTTTTTCCTGTGTGTACTGCTATAGAGTATATTGTGGGCACACATAAAGGTTTTTCATTATTGAGGTTCTGTTGGCAGTAGATGTAAGAAATAGAAATGCTTTATAACTTTGACACAGTCTCAGCCTCTTGTTTTCCTGTTTCCTTCCTGGAGCATTCTTTCTCTGTATTTTTTCCTTTACTGTCTCTTTTATCTAGAAGATTCAGGTATATGGTGGTAAACCTCCTTTTCCTCTTTTTTCCCTTCTCTTTTTTCTTGTTGATGACTTGTGTGTTATGGACATAGTAACGTTCTGCTTTGAAAATGCTGCAATATGATTTCACAGGAGGCCTTTCTTAATGGGTTTGTGGTCTTCACCTAGGCTTTTCTCCACATAGTTTGCTTTACATTTGTCAAAAAATTTGGTCTATTGTTGCCCTGGCAAAATATTAGGAATAGAAATGAATTTGAGAAAATTGCCAAATGTTCTTGTTACAATGGCTAAAAGGAAAATCTCCTCATACTGCAGTATTCTGGCTCAGTAAAACATTACTATACACAAGCTTCTGCATTAGTGAACACATAGTACCCATTCACCAAATACTCTGAAGTTCATATAGTTTCTGTTAAGCACACATGTTGCCATATGTATTAACAGAAAATATGAGTAGTATGTTCTGTTGTGCAAGTATACATTTTAGTCATCATTTTTTCTAATGTGTCAGTGCTGGTTTGGATCTGGTTATTCATTTTAATTTCTTATCCTAGTTATCATGTTTTCTTTTCTTTTAAATTTGCGTTGGTTTTGTTCCTTGTTTTTTGGCCATGTCTCATGCTCTGCTGCTTGAGAGGCATAGGCTTACCTTGGTGCATGAGGGTTAAATCCTCTCATTTCCCTATGCAGCAAGATAATAGTATAGATATTTTAGAATATATCTTAATCCATATTTAACATCCTAATTGGAAAAAAAACGTCTGGGTTTTACGTAGGGGAAACCAAGACAAAAAAGAAGAGAGGACTTCCTAAAAACTTGACTTCTTGAGCTATTCTCTAAACCAGAGAAATTACTGAAAATCAAATTTTCTTTTAAAATATTCACTATATTGGATTGCATTTAATGATTTGCATCAGCTTCTAAATCTCTGACGGTAAAAAAAAAATGCATACCAAAGCTGATGGGTAAAATTCAAAAGAAATTATGTGTTTAAGAACAATTAATGATTTCACAATAATAGTAATATGGTATTCATAACATTGCAGCAATCTCCTCGTTACAAGCTCTGCTCTCTCTGACCAGACTTTGCAACTTTGGAGGTCCGACAGTCAATCTTACATCTACATCCATTGATCTAAATAAAATATTAGCAAAATGTTGTGTTTCAGAGCCTGGATTGACAAAAATAAAGTTTACAGATGGAGCAGACTGGGCAAAGTTGCAAGCACAGGCAAAGCTTTCTGAGCATCCCATGCTGTGGGGATGTTTCTTTTAGTCAGTAGAGAAAAAAAATAATTCTGTAAATCTGTATATGGAATTCCTTTGCCTTGTACTGGCATCAGTACTTTTCAGGCTGATGTTGTAAATTGTATGAATTTTGTGCAATGGCTTTATGCCATTTTTTGTTCTCTTTTGACAGGGCAAGTCAAACTGCTCTTACTGAGAGCTGGGACAATTATATAATGACCTTTTCAGGTCAGATGTGCAATATGGAAGACATTTACATTTTGTAGTTGAATCAAAAGAAAATTTCTTAAATGTGTCTTTAAAAACTTTTAGTTTGTGAAACTTCTGCTTTAAAACAAACTCTAGCTTAATTCAATCTGCAAATTACTGTTTTTGTGTAAACATTTCTCTGTGTGTCTGTTTTGCCAAAATCCAGCACTTAGAGTAACATTAGTGTTGTAGCTCCTTTGCTATTCGCTGACTTGTTCTTAGAGTTGAAATCCTCTGCTCATTTTTTCTCATTCGTTTTGCTACCCCTTTCTTCTCTTCAGCTACTGTTGAGGCTATTGAGGCTGATGAAGGTAAATTGGCCAGTCCCCTTTCTGTTGGTGCCACAACAGATAAGGGCTCTGCTGGGTGTATTCATTTTGCTGTAGCTTGTACAGATTGTGTGGGTGTTGGGCTAACAATTGTGGCTCGGTATTAACCAAAATGTAATTGCTTTAAAGGGGAAAGTGTTTTTTGGTTTTTCTTTCTGTTGCTTCTGTTGAGCTTTTTCTTTTTCTGTAAGTTACAAACACGTTGGAATTGCTGTATGTTGAACTAAGCACTGCGTAATGCCACAGGAGATCAGGGAACTTGGATTTCACGGGACATAACTTGGCAGCAGCTCGTAAATGCTCTGTGACACATAGCTCAAAAGTTGTGCACTGGAGGCTGGCTCAAACTATCCTCAGCAATTTCTGGTCAAGGAAAACACATAGCTTTTTATATATTCTCTCTTGTTGTTTCTTTCCCCCTTTTTCTTTATTTATGCTTCAGTTTGTTTCCTTTGTTTTAGGTCACTAATAAAAAAAATTATTGGTCTTTTGTTGTAGTACAGCATGTTTCTGTTTCCCTTTAAAAGTAAAACAACATGAGACATTTGTCTGCAAGATGTCTGCTTCTTTTGGTAGTGGCAGTTTACACACTGGATATTTACATTAGAGCAACCATTAACACAGGCACCATTTTAGCTGCATATAAAGTGACTGGCTGCCTTAGAAGATTTCTGAACGTTCAGTATTGAAAACTGGTGTTTTGTTGACAGACCTCTACTTTAACCCTTAACAATTTTTAACACTTGAGTTAAAATCAAAGTAACCATGTATTGCAATGCAGACGTACAATATTTATTCAGTATTATAAAGTTTTGGAAGAAGACTTTTCAGAATTCCCCTTTAAAACAAAATTCTTCAGTTGTATTTTGTTCTTGCCCCTCTCAAATTTTCTGTGGGTATATTTTTTTTTAGTTAATTAAAAAAAAAAAAATCTGATGATTGTTGTCCTTTGGTAAGATGTGCCCTTTCGGCCAGTTAATTTGTTTTTGAATTTTGTAAAGCAGTGAATAAAATTACAGAACAAACACGTAAGAGAAAATACAACTGCTTTCTAAATAGCAGTGAGTAAGCTGCTATTTATGTTGGAATTATCTATTCCTATCGGCAATCTCTAATCTGCAGTGTGCATTCTTGTTGACAGTTTGGCTGTTTTCTGTGATTTTCTGTGACTATGTGTTGTGTTTTAGTAGACTCTCAATGTAACCTGCTAATATTCATTGTCTGACCAGCAACTACAGCAGAGCACCTTCCTTAGTGTTACAGAAAATCATGTGTCTACTGGAAATGCAATCCCTTTATGTGCCCCCTGCCAGCAATATGCACCCCTCAAGTTAATCCTTGATTTGCCATCCTTGCTAGTTAGATGCTGTCACCATAGTCACAACCACTGCTCTACATAGGTGAAGCTTCTGGTGGAGGAGAAGTTTCACCCTTTACCAGTTGTCCTTCAGGGCCCAGTGACACCAACTGGGCTCTGCTGCTGGTAAGCTCCAGGACAAGGCAACGGCTTCCGCTTCAATGCAGCCATCCATTAAACTATTGCTTTAAGGGATTGGCATGGGTGCTTGTTAGACATCTTCATTTTGTGATAGAAGGTAAATTTAAAAAAAAAAACAACCCACAAGACAGCCTTAAGAAAACTCACTGTATGACCTGTTCTGTTTTCACTGCTCCACCCCTGTTCACTTCACTAGTCACCATTATGTTGTTGTTTTTCTGAGTTGAAGTATAATACATGTTAAAAACCATGCACTTCACAAAGTTCCAATGTAACATTTGTGAAACTGGCTTAAGAACTAAATCCTGAGGCAAACAGGATCTATCAATTCTCATAGGAAAGGCTGGCACAACCAGCATGAAAATGCCTTTTCTTGTTCCCCACTAAATACAAGGAGTGGTAGCTTGGTACCAGGGATGTTCTGGGGTTTTGGGTGTGTTAGATTTTTATTTTTTTAACAAAAGTTACCAGCTTGTCCAGAATCAGGACTGCATATTGGAAAGAGAATACTTGTGGGTAAGGAGAAGAGAAAAAGGGAGAAGGAATACTGAATTTGGTCTCTAAAACTCTGCTACTGTTTTCTCCCCAGGGAGTTTGCAGTTTCCTGGTACTAACACACCATTTCTGCTCAATGGCATGTTATGATAGAGGCCTAGCAGAAGTTCCAGTTCTGGAAGTGCAGTGCATTGATTTGGTACTATAAGAGAAAAAACACACAGAGGGCTGTGACAAATTATATACGGGGCTGTGACCTGCTGTTTGCCTACAGTGCTTTTTTTTCTCTTTTGCTTTAAATCTAAAGATCTTCAACACTTCAATTAGAGAGAGAATAAAATTAAATAAAAATCACGGTCTGTGAATACATTCCTCAGCCTGTGTCTTCTTTCTGATGTTGGTGTGGCCTCCTCACCAATGTCTCTGCTAAAAGGCAGATCAAAAATCCTCAGGATCAGTTGGAACTTTGGTCCTTTGTCAGTGCATTTCCTAAGCTAAACTGTATAGCTGTTCCAAAATGACAATATCCCTGATCCATGTTGCACAGTGTTCCTGCTTTTTGACTCAAGCTGCTTTCTAGAAGTCCAGGGTTGTATCAGGGAGGATTACTGCCCTAAGCGATCAACAAGCAGATCACCTGTGTTGAGAACAGAAGGCAACTTGTTGTAGGGTCACCACAGATCTTCCTTAGCTTTAGTGTATCCTGCCAAATCGCCTCACCATGTCATCACCTGGAAGTAGCCAGCACTTTTTGCATGATCTTTGAAGGTCAGATGGAAGTTTTGCCTGATGAAGGGCATTAGGGCAAGGCACAGTGTCCTTAAGGCTGTAAGTAATGACAGCAAATGCCAACTCACGAGCTCAGGGCTGTGCCCTCAGCATGGTTCCAAAGCGCAAACTGTAGTTTGGTGTTCTAAGCTGAACCCCAGTGGACAGCAAAATACTGGAAGTTGATCATGTTGAAAACAACAGTTGTGTTGGAAAGGACGGTGGTGGTGAGCCTCCAGCTCTTTTGAGTGTGGTAAGGAGTTGGTGGTGGTGTCAAATCTTCTCATTGCCTCCTTCCCAAAGAAGGATTCTCGCACTTGTTGCTAAATTGGGGGAAAAGCTGCTGAGAGTTTTATCTTGCTAATTTTATTTTTCAATGATCCTTTATTTAGCTATCAAAGGATTTTCACCCCAGCATAAGATCACTAGCTTCGAAGAGGCCAAAGGCTTAGATCGAATTAATGAGCGAATGCCTCCGCGCAGAGACGTGCCATCCGATGCCAACCTTAACTCCATCAACAAGGCAATCTCCACAGAGACTAATGGCACGGACAGCAACGGCAGTAATAGCAGTAATATCCAGTGACCACTGTCCGGGAGGGGGGTTGAGCTGCAGGGCGCGATGGGGTTGCTGCACATCAGCACTGGGATGTTCTTGCCTCTGATAATAGCTTACTTGCTCTGGGGGCCAGGTGTTGGATTCAGTTTACAAAAATCATCAACAAAGAGATCGTCAACTTTAATTTGGTGGGAGGGCGGGTGGGGGAGAGACACCTCCTTTGGATATGCCTTTAAATGCTTGTAGAAAAATGAAAGCTCATGCTGGTATATATTGCAAAGTTAGGGAAACGAACATGTTTTCCTACTACATTGGGAACGTCTAGCTATGTTACTGAAAGGCCTTTTATTATGTTACTGGACATGAAAACTTTGTTTAATTTCTTACTAACTATTGTACGTTTACAGTTGCAGCACTCAACATCTACAACATCGAAACATTTTTAACAAAATGTACAAACTAAATAAGGACTATTTATTGATAATGTTTTGCTACTCTTGTCAGACAATGGCTATGAAATAAATTAGGCACTCTTTAAAAATATAGAGAAAAAAGAAAAAAAAAGTTGGAAATTTGTTTAAAATGCCAAAAAAAAGAGAGAGAGAGAGAGAGAGAGAGTGAGAGAGCGAGAGCGACAGTTTAATTTTGTACAGATTATGCTTACCTCAGGTTTCTTTAGTGTGCTTCAATGCCCTTCTTTAAATATAACACTTACCTTACTAATTTGGCAGCAATTATCTTTTTCTTTGTTAAAAAAAAACTGGAATAATAACATTTATCTTTTTTTGCTGTTTATATTTAGGGGGGTTTGGTTTGGGAGGTTTTCTGGGTTTTTTTTGGTAAAACAAGTCTTGGTTGTGGCTTGCTGAATTTAAATATTTATGAGTGGTGCATTTTTAAGTATAGTGAACAAGACACCATATTAAGTGCAGTGAAAAGCATCTATATTCTGTAAAAATCTGCCTATGCATGTTTTTTAAGAAAAAATGGCTGTATCGGCCTGTATGGGACTGTAATGCGCTTAGTGGTCTGACTTATACTGGAAATGTATGTATACTGGCGTACTTTATATTCTCTAAAAAGAAAATGCTTAATGCCTTTGAAATTTTGTAATCAAAAAAAGCTTTGAAAAATCTAAGGGGGGAGAGTATTCTTAAAGTTTTTAACATAAGCTTGTCAGTGCACATATAGATGGGTAGCATGTTTAGCAAACCTTGTGAAATTTAAATAAGTTTGTAGTTACATGTGAAATTCTAAATGCATGATAACTGTTAATGTCATAATGGTTTAGTCATTTTGTTCTGTTTTGTCATGTGCCACAAAATGTGTAATTTTTTCACTTTTTTCCCTTTGTATATCAGTTACGGGTTTCAACTGGTTCATTCTAAAAAAGAGAAAGAAACAAAACAAACAGTCCATTGATATTTTTTAACAATTGTATAAGTGCCCAAGTAATTCACTACAGCCTACAGCCTTGCCTTTGTAATTTGACTTTGAAATGTTGGCAATCAAAGCATGCACTTGTAACAATGAAAGAAGCATTTTATATTACTACTCAATAAAAATGTGCATGAACTTAAGCATTCTTCCCATTCTTTGCTGTCTCAGTGGCAGAAGCACACAGGCACCACGCGCGTGTGCTCCTTGCTCTCTTTTGCTTTGGACAGGAGAAGACCGCTGGTGTAAGAGATGAGTGACTCGTTTCACAATTCAAGGTCAGTTCTTTACTAAGAAACAAACCGTGTGTTACCCAGCTGTTCTAGGCTACTGAATCTCTGCAGACTTCCCCCAAGGTCTGGTTAGAACACTGGGTTGTCACTAAAATGAGTAGGATGTAACTCACGAGTAGAGTGCACAAGAAAACAAGTGTGCTCTTATGTGCTTTCCCCTTATCTAGAGTGTTTGAAAAGGTCAATGGGCATCATTTACAATGATTACAATTTTATTTCAAATGCTGTCTCTTTTAGTCAGAGAAGAACTGTCAAAGCTCTGTCTTCTCACTTTCTCCCTAACTGTGCTCAGCATCCTTCCCAAGTCCATCATCCTGCGAAGAACTGACAGATGATGCCAAATGCTGCAATAATGTGGGTATTGCCTTAGTCTTCCTTTCAGGTACCATTATTAAACATAGGCTCAGTGCCTGCTTTCTTATATATGTTTTTTCCCACCTTAGCTCTTGATAATTTTGACAAAATATGACAGGTGGCAAAAATAAAGAGGTTTCATAATAGCTGGGACTATTTCAGTTGTAATTTTTCATTTCATATTGTAGAGGTACAGCACAGACACTCAGAGTCTGTGTGTTCATCTGCTGGGTGGAGCTGTTTGTCCCTGTGGGTTACAGGCACGGTGTGTGCAGAAGGGAGTGGTGACAGCTTGTGTGACCACTGAGCCCTGTGCTCATGGAACAGCACAGGTTACCTGAGGTAAGTTCTTCTGTGGAGATGCCCTGTACCGCACACAGCAGCATGTGCTGTCTGCTTGCATTTCACTTGGGCCCTGGCAATTCCACCAGCCAGTCTGACAGTAAGAAAGGGGCTTTTTTGCTCAGCAGTCACTCTGCGTAGCCCTCTCAGTTGGTAGATTTTACCCAAAAGATCCGTGCTACAAATCAGAGGTGGGGCTGGAAATGTCTGTTGTAGTTGCTGAAGAGTTTATTAGATAAGCAAGTCAGCCTAGGATGAATGATCCACTAGGGAATGTACAAAGTGTCTGGTCACAAAGGAGATTTTGAAACTTTTGCATCTCAGAAGAATGAAAAGTGTCTGGAGCATGAACAATAGCAGTGTCCTGTGTATCCAGGCAGGATAGCCTGGCTCGTTCCCAAAGCAAGCTCAGCCATCCTACTGTGGGGCAGTTTCTGGATGGCTCCAAGGGATAGTCTAAGCTATACTTCCTGGAAGGACCATAAACAACTTCCAAAGCTTGTCTCATTTCTGGGCACCCAATCTCTTCCAGCTTTCCTTCTTTTTTCCTAATGCAGAAGAAACTGTGGATGAATTTGAAGAAAAATCCTTAGTTTTGGATTCTGTGATGATTCACATCATCAGTGATGTGTCATGCACTGGACTGTGTCTCCCAGTACAGATTTCTTCCTTCTTACTGAATACCCCACCTTAATGCCAAAACCATCACTGGTGCCTACTTAAGAGATTTCCTTTTTTTTTTTTTAACCACTTGAATCTTGCTGTGTGAGATAGTATTTGATACATGTCTTATATTTTATGCATTATCTAATTTTGCTTTTCAACAGCTATTAAGCATGAAGTGCATTAGCTTTTAGTGTATATTTTCTTCAGAAGACAACATTCAAATTTTGTCTGGGTTTTCCTCCAAAACTGCAGTAGATTTAACCCTGCTTAAGCTTGTGCCGGTATTGCCAACTGTTGGGCACAGGTAGGAATTCTTCCAAGTTTTTCCTCTTCTGAAGCCTCTAGAGGAGTTCTGATCTCTCTCCTCCCTAGCTTTAGTTTTTAGTGAAGTGGCATTCAGAGTGTAAAATAATGAAAATTTGGGGACATTTTCTGGGTGCAAGCTGAATTTACAATTTTAGTCCTTAGAAATCAGTTTCCCTTCTTTTTTCGAGATACTGTTGCTCAGATTAGTCAGATTGATGAGTCTTCCCACTTCTTTGAGTAAGAGAGGGATGTGAGAATCAGCTATTCCAAATGTTGAAAAACCACAAGCACCAAAACAACCATTTGAAAAAATAGTTTTCAGTTTGCTTTCTTAGTTGTTTTTGTAATGATGTTTAATCCCCTTAAAAGTGGCCATTTTGGGCATGCAAAAGGATGAGCTTTCTTGGTCTTCAATGATTTAGGAAAAAAATATATCTACATTCACATTTTCATATGTAAATGTTCATACTTGCAGGTACTTTCAGTAAAAAAAGATGAGATGATGGAGCTAGAGACAGGGGTTGGGTTTTGTGTCTTGCTGATCTGACTCTGCAGTATCAGGCCTGCTAAATTTTATAAAAGAAAAGTTTTGTGAGGCCCTGATTTTTTTAAATTATATTTTTTAAATAACTTGAGAGCAGTTTCAATTTTACATGTGACGCCAGGTTTCATCAGGCTGACAGATAGCTCTGTGTTCTGGGCAGTATTCTGCAATATTTTGCCAATGATTGCAAAGGTAAGGGCTGCCTTGCCTCTGTCAAGCCTGTGAGAAGCTTGTTTTAAGTAAAGTAACTTGGCAAAGAATGTGCTAAAGGACTGATTTAGCTGCCAGTGGGAAGGCATGGTGACAGACATGTCTGCTCCTTTGTGAAGCCCCACTTGTGGCCATCACTAGTTGCTCTGGGATTCCCCAAGGCCCCTCTTCTCTTTTGGGCAAAGCCTGGCATGGTTGTTTGCTGGAAGCTTGGGTCTGGACACCCAGTTAGGCAATTCTTAGAGCAGCAAGACTTGAGCAAGATGTGTTGTTTCATATTTTAGCTTTTGCATTCTTGAGGCAGTTGATGTTGATGACCATGCTGTGATATTGAGCAAGCCCATTGCTCCCAACATTTGACTATTTAATAATCTCTTATGTTTTAAATGAGCAGTTGAACACTGTGACCTGGGCTAATTTCCCGGTGTTCTATGCCAGAGGAGACTGGCACAGAACATAACTGCTGTTGTTACAGCACTGAGTCACTGAGCAGGCACTGCTGGGATCAGCTCCCCCAGCCTCCCCAACAGCTCACACAGGATCAGCTGGAGCAGGTCATGGGGCTATGTATAGTCAGGTCTTGACTGTCTGCAAGGATGAAGACTCTGCAACCTCTCTGAGCAAGCTGTGGCAGTGCTTGAGAGCTCTTAGAGTAGAAGAGCTTACATTTAAAAATTTGCTGTATTTCAGTTTGTGTCTAATGGCTTTCGTCCTGGTGCCAGGCCTCACCAAGAAGAGCTCTTGGCTCTTTCTTTTTACTCCCCCATCAAGTACTTTTTCTCCAGGCTGAGCATTCCCAGCTCTCTCCATCTCTTCCGGGGTCTTCCAGTCCCTTAATCACCTTCATGGTCTTTGTTGAACTCACTGCATTAAGTCCATGTCTGTCCTGTGCTGGGGAGTCCAGACCTGGACACAGCTTTCCAGGTGTGTTTCACCAGTGGAGAGTGAGGGAGGGAAAAGACTTGGCCTGGTTGCCCATATATGCCATTAAATTTCTACAACATGTGCCATTAAATTTCACTCTTTGTCTACTACTGTGTCCTACCTGCTGCTGGTCCTTCAGAAGGTGAAGTAGTCATGAAAAAAATCTCACCAAATTTGTACAGAGGGCAGTAGTCGCCTCCTGCATTCAGCAGGCAAGTGGCAGAAGCATGTGATGTGTATAAAGTCATTTTTGTGGTGCAGATCTGCATGTTTTCCGGACATCACATAAATGAGAGATCTTGTGCCTCTCTGGGGAGGGAGAAATAACCTTCTGACAAGGTTGCCTGAGGAGGAGGTAATTTGTTTATCTGTCACTTGGTGGTTTATTGTTTTCAGTACATATTTAATCAGCTTTGTACTTTGTAATTTTTGTACTTTTGTTTCTTTTTTCTAAAAAGAAAGAGCACTCTGAAGGGAATATGGTTCTGACACTCTGGCTGAGCTTAAATAAAGATGCAGAGCTGATGGACTCAGAAGGCCCTGCAGCCATGGACCAGAGTGCCAGAGAAAGGAAAGGAATGAATAGTGGAACTGGGAGGAGGGGTTGGGTTATTTATTTCATTCCTTTTTCAAGGTAGCTAGGAGAAGAGATGATGGCTGCAGTGCTTCACTGCAAGTCTGAGATGATGAGATAAGGAAGCTGTGCCAAGCTCCCAGGGCTTTGGGTAGGTCATGACAGAAACTAGGCTGATAAAATTCACCTTAGACTAGATGAGCACTTAAAGATTATAGTGGAGTTCAGGTGCCGACCTGAAAGCAGTCATGTAGAAAAGGAAAGCAGGCAATGGCACAGGAAGTAAAGTTTTAGAGGGCAGACCTGTGATAAGGAACAAACTGGGATTCAGAGCCCTGGCAGAGGAAGAAGTGCGGATTATGGGTTAGAGTGATACATTTACTACTTGCTGAAGAGTTAAATCAGTTCAGCCTTAGTGCAAGGATGCCTATTACTAAGGAGTTTGGACCTTGTACAAGGGAGTTGCCATGAAGTCAGCTGGGATGACTGGCTAAAGCCTGGGCTCTCTGCAGGATAAGAGGGCAGGAATTATGAAGACCTTAAATCTCAACTAGTCTTGTAAGGTAAGGCTTGCAACTAACATCTCAGAAAAAAAAAAAGCTAACAAGGAATGGAAAAATGACCTGTTAGTCAAGTAAGTTGGACATAGCCAGTAAACTCTAGGAGTACAGTGAAAACCAGCATGAGTCCAGCTAAGTTATCTTTGGTGATCATGGTTGAAAAGCAGCAGAAAACCTTTCCAGACACTTGACTAGAAAAAGCAAGGTTAAATAAGTGGGAAATTGTGCAATGAGGATAAGGGAGAGGCCTAAAGTATTGGCTAAAGGACTGTGGAAGGAAAGCCAAGAATGAGATTTAGAGTATGGAAACAAGGACTACAGGAGTCGAGACAGAAGCAAGTTAAGAGTTGAAAGCACTTATTCCAGGAAA